CATGTTGGCCAGGCTGGTCGTGAACTCCTGACCTCAGGTGATCCGCCTGCCTTGGCATCCCAAAGTGCTGGGATTACAGGCATAAGCCACCACGCCTGGCCTGAATAAATATTATGAGTACCTACTCTGTGCCAGGTACTAGGCTCCTACAGTAAATAGAATTGGCATGGTCCTTGCCCTTGTGGAACTTATGCTGAGTGGGGGAGGCAGATATTAAGAAAACCACGCATAAATAAATATAAAATAAATACATAGTTAGAAATTTTGGCAAATTCTTTGAATAAAAAGATGTCAATGGATTTGAAGACAATAGGGTGGATTGAAGATATATTTTGGAGGTGAAATCAACAAGATCTGATTGTGACTTCTGTGTTGGGGTGAGGGAGTTATCAAGGGTGACTTTTAGGTTCTGGTTTGTACAGTGGAATGGATGGTGTAAATTATTGATTTAAGGAAGAGCAGATTTTGGGGTAAGGGAAAGTGGGAGATACTGTTTTATTTTTGAACTGTTAGGCTTGGGATGCCTATGGTTCATTTTTTGCATGGAGATATTAAGAAAGCAGTTGGATGTATAGGTTTGAAACTCAGAGAGATCAATTGAGAGTCATAAGCATTTATTGTGGTTAGTATTTAAACCCATAGAAATTTATGGAATTCCCTAGGAAGAGTATAGAAAGAGAAGAGAGTCCAGGACTGACATCGTCCCCTCACTCCCACCCCGAAAGACTTCAACATTTAGAGATCTAGAAGAGGAGAAAGAGAACAAAGGACAACAGAAAAGAGTCAGTCAGGGTAAAACTGGAAAAATGCAATAACAAGGCTGGATGCCGTGGCTCATGCCTGTATTCCCAGCACTTTGGGAGGCTGAGGCAGGCAGATCTCTTGAGGTCAGGCGTTCAAGATCAGCCTGGCCAACATGGTGAAACCCTGTCTCTACCAAAAAAACACAAAATTAGCTGGGTGTGGTGGCGCGTGCCTGTAGTCCCAGCTACTTGCGAGGCTGAGGTGGGAGAATCACTTGAACCTGGGAGGCAGAGGTTGCAGTGAGCCGAGATTGTGTCACTGCACTCCAGCCTGGGCAACAGTGTGAGACCATGTCTCAAAAAAAAGAAAAAAAATGCAGTAACAAAGACAAAAGTGTTTTAAGGAGTTCTTTAGGAAATTTTCTATTTTGTATCCTAGTTGCATCTTACAACCTTGCAGCAATGTTTAGTGTACTTCTTTGGAAAATGTCTGCCAGTGCTGCTTAGTTAATAACATGGCACAGTCCTGTTTCACTAACAGTGTTTGAAATACCAAGGAGTAGGAATTTTAGTGTATCTAAAAGCACTGGTTTTGCAAAACAGCTTTATTTGGGAGTTGAGAGAAGGAAGCAGGTGTTTTCAGATGTACGTTCTTTAACGTTCTGTTCACTTATATTCCAAATAAATAGATAATATTTAGAGGTGTTTTCGTATCTTTTTCAACTTATGAGAAATGATACAAATACCCATTGTCCCTGTCAATCCATAGAGTGAAGGTGAGAAATGAAGGAATAGCTAATGCTTCTATAGGAAATGTCTGTAAACAAAGTAAATCCAAAATTTTAAAGTAGCAGTAGCTCTTATTATAGATTGAACATCCAAAATGCGAAATGCTCCCGTCTGAAACTTTCTGAATGTTGGCATGATGCTCAAAAGAAATGCTCATTGGAGCATTTCAGATTTCAGATTTCCAGATTTGGGATGCTCAACCAGTAAGTATTTAATGCAGATATTCCAAAATTTGAATAAATCTGAAATCAGAAACACTTCTGATCCCAAGCATTTTGGATAAGGGATATTCAACTTGCGTATGAAAGAGATTATTGAACTATTTAAATATAATTTTACTTCTCTTTCTTTCTTTCTTTGAGATGGAGTTTCTCTCTTGTTGCCCAGGCTGGAGTGCAGTAGCACGATCTTGGCTCACTGAAACCTCCTCCTCCCGGGTTCAAGTAATTCTTGTGCCTCAGCCTCCCAAGTAGCTGGGACTACAGGCGTACACCACCATGCCTAGCAAATTTGTGTGTGTGTGTGTGTGTGTGTGTGTGTGTGTGTGTGTGTGTATTTTTAGTAGAGATGAGGTTTTGCCATGTTGCCCAGGCTCCTGACATCTGGCAATCTGCCCGCCTTGGCCTCCCAAAGTGCCAGGATTACAGGCATGAGCCACTGTGCCTAACCTATTTTACTTTTCTGTATCATTTACAGTGCTATCCAGTAGGACTTGCTGCCAAGATGGAGATGTTCTCTATCGATGGTCCAGTTGAGTAACTGGACTTTGACCATATGAAATGTGGCTAGTGGGTCTGAGGAACTGGATTTTAAATTTAATTTAAATGTCAGTATGTAGCTGCTGGCTGTCATGTTGGAAAGCACAGAAAGAATTTAAATGTCAGTTGTAGAGTGAGATAGGATTTGGTTATTGAATAAAAGAGGGCCCTGTAATGTGGACTTGACATCTTCCCTCCATACTTTGGCTTTCTGCCTTCTTTGCCTTTTCATTCCTTCACCTTCACCACCATCATTTTATCGTACCAAAAGCAACTTTAAACTTGGGATGTTTTTCCTGTCTCTAATCTGATTTTTCTTCAGCAGAAACATCTTTAATGCTACAAAATGGAATTATAGCAGTTGTTTTTTCTGGGAACCATGTTGTTGGAGAAATAGTCATTTTAACTGAACTGCTTTGTAATGTTGCCTAAGAAAATATGGTATAATCAAATTACAGTAAAAAATGAAGTGCACTCATAATTACTTTTATAACCTTCCTTTTTCAGTGTTCCCTGGGGCTTTCCCTCTCTGGTAATCTTAGCCAGCCATAGACCATTCTTTCTAGAATCAGTTTCCTAATGCTAGTGTGGTCTGTGGTCTCATATTGACCAAATTTGGTCTTACTCAAACTTATCATTTTCTTTTATATTATTTTCGTCCTCTTCCATTTTCTGTCATCCTCTGGCCTTAATTGACTCACCTGGCTCAGGGAAGAAAAAGGAAGGGAAATAAATCCAGGCTAGAGAAATATGGCTGGTTCTATCCCTCTGATAACTGAGAGAAACCCAATTTTTTTTATTTTTTATTTATTTATTTATTTTTTTATTTATTTATTTTTTTTTTTTTGAGACGGAGTCTCACTCTGTCGCCCAGGCTGGAGTGCAATGGCACGATCTCTGCTCACTGCAACCTCCGCCTCCTGGGTTCAGGCAGTTCTCCTGTCTCAGCCTCCTGAGTAGCTGGGATTACAGACGCGTGCCACCACGTCCGGCTAATTTTTGTATTTTTACTAGAGATAGGGTTTCACCATGTTAGTCAGGCTGGTCTCAAACTCCTGACCTCGTGATCTGCCTGCCTCAGCTTCCCAAAGTGCTGGGATTACAGGTGTGAGCCACCGCACCCAGCCGAGAAACCTGATCAAACCTGATCTTAGGGACAAATTTTTTTTTCATTATTTTCCTTTATACAATTTTTTTTTTTTTTTTTTTTTTGTGAGACGGAGTCTCGCTCTGTTGCCCAGGCTGGAGTGCAGTGGTGCTATCTCGGCTCACTGCAAGCTCCGCCTCCCGGGTTCACGCCATTCTCCTGCCTCAGCCTTCCGAGTATCTGGGACTACAGGCGCCTGCCACCATGCCTGGCTAAGTTTTTGTATTTTTAGTAGAGATGGGGTTTCACCGTGTTAGCCAGGATGGTCTTGATCTCCTGACCTCCTGATCTGCCCGCCTCAGCCTCCCAAAGAGCTGGGATTATAGGCGTGAGCCACTGCACCTGGCCCCTTCATACTTTTAATGTGGCAGAAGTACCATTCTCTTCTGACCCTTTTCGTTTCCTTTTAGACATGTCTAAATCATAATGGAGCTTAACTGTAGTACAGCAAAGTATACACATTGCTTGTTACATATATTCACATTGTTTTAAAATTCTGTTGTACCATGGTAAACATGGATAATACAGTATCATTTTTGAGCAGTTTTTTAAATGTAAATCTGTATCTTATTCAGAGTGTGTGTCTGAAGTTATTAAGGACATTTCCCAACGTTACTGGCCCATTTCTCTTTGTAATCAGAGGAATTCTGTTTCAAGATTATTGCTGTGTGTGGTCTGTGGCTCTTGATCAGAATGAAGTTAAACGGCCACAGGGGGATTAAGCTATGAGGTTGGCGTTTTTCACACTGTTATGTTTTGACTAATTGAGTTATTAGTCCTAGTCAGAGAGGAGCATTTCTTATTAGTGGTCAGTTAAGGCTATTCCCCAAGGGATATTTCATTGTAAATACTAGTCATTTGGTATCATTCTTCCCTTTTAGGAAGAAATATACATTGCACTTACTTGTACAGCATTTTGAGGTTGATGCTTTTCTATTCTCCATGGCTTGTTGCATTAAAAATTAAGCAACAGGCCGGGCGCAGTGGCTCACACCTGTAATCCCAGCACTTTGGGAGGCCACAGTGGGCGGATCACAAGGTCAGGAGATCGAGACCATCCTGGCTAACATGGTGAAACCCCATCTCCACTAAAAATACAAAAAAATTAGCTGGGCATGGTGGCGGGCGCCTGGAGTCCCAGCTACTTGTAAGACTGAGGCAGGAGAATGGCGTGAACCCGGGGGGTGGAGCTTGCAGAGAGCCGAATTCACACCACTGCACTCCAGCCTGGGTGACAGAATGAGACTCTGTCTCCAAAAAAAAAACAAAAAACAAAAAAATTAAGCAACAGATTTTTTTAAAAAGAAGAACAAAGGAAAGAGTCATTGGGTTAAAGACCTAAGTAGCGTCATAACTCTCTGGAATTACATGTCCGTAGGAGAATGTATTGAAATACAAAACCACGTGTTTTCTTGATGCTTCACATGCAAATGCTTGTTCTTTCTTTTTATTCCTGGTTGTCTTTCATTAAGTCATAAATGCCCCAAGAATAACCAGTCTCTGTGTGGTATAGAGAGTCTAATAGCCTTTGTATTAAATCTTTTTTGGCTTGCAATTATCTAGATGTTTCAGAAAGAACAAGTGGATCCTCTTCAGATGAAATTGCAGCAGGTGAATGGACTTGGCCAGGGATTAATTCAGAGTGCAGGAAAAGACTGTGATGTGCAGGGTTTAGAACATGACATGGAAGAGATCAATGCTCGATGGAATACATTGAATAAAAAGGTGAGTGACAATGGGGTAACAAGTGTACTGGAAACAAAAGGCATAGAAAAGAGACATCTGAATCTAAGGTTTCCCGAAACCTGAATGGAAATAAAAATTTAGCAGTTGCAATCTATAATTACTAAAAGAGGTCAGTAGTAATTTGAAAACTACTTTCTCCTTTCTCATAATGAACCTACATGTTCATGATACAGGTCGCACAAAGAATTGCACAGTTACAGGAGGCCTTGTTGCATTGTGGGAAGTTTCAAGATGCCTTGGAGCCATTGCTCAGCTGGTTGGCAGATACGGAGGAGCTCATAGCCAATCAGAAACCTCCATCTGCTGAGTATAAAGTGGTAAAAGCACAGATCCAAGAACAGAAGGTAAGTGATAATGTTGGGACAGTGAACTGTAACAGCCATAGGGAGTGGTAGACAACATATTTGCTTGTAGTTTAAGAAGCAATTCAGAGTTTTAGTAGAATCCTAACCTACTTTGTGTCGTCCTGAAAAGTGGAAATTGATTTTTCATTATCTTACCTAAATCTACTGGTTTACTGTGGCATATGTTAGACTGAATAATTTTGCCTGTTCATGTATCCTATTTCAGTGTTCATCCACAATTTTATGTTAAGAGGTTTTTGGTGTTTTCAGGGTCTGCAATATTCTAGATAGTGTTGTATATCATGTACAAAGTTTTATCTATATTTTTTGTTGGTTTAATTTCTATTTTAGTGCAGTTTTTTCTTTTTAAAAACAATTTATCCCAAAGGAAATTTTATTTTATTTTTCTCAGCTTTATTGGTGTATAGTTGACAAATAAAAATTGTGTGTGTTTATAATTTACAATGTGATGGTTTGAGATATATATATGTGTGTGTATATATATATACACACACACACATTGTGAAATGTTTACCATAGTCAAAATAATTAACGTATTAATCATCTCAAATGTTAACCATTTTTTAGGGCACTTTTCTCTTGGTTCAAAGGAAGTTCCCTGTTAGTCACATAATGGCAATCACTGCTCCATTTAAAAATTTAAGTGTGTGTGAAAAGTGTGTGAGTGGTGAGAACTGTGCTATATCTCCTGTTTTTGCCTCAAGGATGAAAAAAACTTCTTTTACTCAATGAAGCTTAGGATTTGGCCGGTTGGTTTCTTTTGTTTTTCTTCCTAGTTCAGATTTCAAAATGATGCTGTGTTACAACTTTTCATTCTCTTTATAATAGTTGCTCCAGCGGCTCCTAGATGATCGAAAGGCCACAGTAGACATGCTTCAAGCAGAAGGAGGCAGAATAGCCCAGTCAGCAGAGCTGGCTGATAGAGAGAAAATCACCGGGCAGCTGAAGAGTCTTGAAAGTAGATGGACTGAACTACTCAGTAAGGCAGCAGCCAGGTAAGACCAAAGGAATTTGAGGAGTGGGTCAGAGGTTTGTTTTGTTCTTCTTCAACTTACTATCACTAAAGTGCTCTTTAAGTTCTTGGATGATTCATACAGATTTTTGGAAAGTGTTTAATGGCTTTTATTTGAACTGGGATAAGATTTTAGAGATGATGCTCATAACCAGAATCACACTTAGGAAATGGTCTCCTGCATCTTTATAAATTTCCAAGAACTGGAAAACTCATTGCTCTGTGTGGTGGTTCTGCTGTAGTATAATCATAGTTCCAAATGACAGACACAGACTCCTACAGTCCAGCCAAGTTATTTTCTGAGTTTTTGAAACAGATTCCCCCCCCCCTTATGTTTATAAATAATGCTTTTGATACTTGGAATTGAAATGTGTCATATTTCTTTTCTATTAGCTTATACTAATATTAGATTTTTTTGCCTTTAGAAGCTAGTCTGTGGTTTTGTTAAATATCTGAGAATTCGAGAGATGCATGAACTTACCTCAATATATGGTCAAAAAGACAGGCAACAAATCTTCCTCCTCCAAGGAAACATTCCCTTTCTCTTTCCATAGCTATAAGTCATGCTGTCACTTGAGCTTAGTAAGTCACATAGATGTCTTTACTTTTATACAGTCCCCAGTTTTAAAATTAAATACCAACTAATGAGAAATCAATAAGAGAGTTGATCATTTGTTATTGTACCCTTTACGTTTCCTAGGTAGCCTATGGCAGTCTTCAAATAATTCCCTCTTCAGTCTTTTTATGGCCACCTGCCCATGACTTGCTTATTCCTTACCTGAGTTGCAAAGTATGGCTTGCCCATGTTAGTGGAAGAAACAAAATGGAAAGAATTTGACTTACTTGTATTTCCAGATTTGTACTGCTTATTTTCTTTTCTCTCTGTGCATTTCCAGTAATGGTACCATTAGCTTTCCAGTTTCCTAGGCTTAAAAACTCAACTCCATTTTTACTTTTTTTTTTTTTAATTTCTCCTTTATGCCCACATCTATCAGCATGCTAAATTCTGTCTATTTTACTTTACAGTGTCTTTCCTGTCCATCTGTTTCTCTAATTCCCACTCTCCCCTCAGTTCATGACTTAGGAGCCTCTCACTAGTTGTATTGAGATAGCTTCTTCACTAATCACTCTACCACTTACCCTCAGGCCTTCCCCTTCCCATCCCCCAGCTGCAGGTGAACCTTTCTGAAATAAGCCTTTAATCATATCTTTTCAGGCTCAGAGACACTTAATTGACTCCCTGTTAAAATAAAACCTTTAGATTATGAGGCTGACACACTGCCTGCTCTACTAAGAAGGTGCTTAAAATAAAATCTGAACTCTAACCCACCATTCAGAGCCCTCTATTTGACCTACCTTGTTTCTACTATTCTTCTCACTCCTTGTATTATAGCTGAAGTAAACTATATTCTGTTCTTTAATATCTTCTGACAGTGTCCTAACCCTGTGTCTTATTTTATGGTGTGTTATAATACATCTTTCATGAAGTGCTTTTGTCCATCTCTCTTCTGTAAAACTTTCCTTTGTTCCCCAAGCATGGAATAACTTTTCCTGCCTCTTCACTGCCATAACTCTTTATCTGTACCTTGTATTATGATCATTATTTTAGGTACTTACCTTCCTGGTCCATAAATTCCTTGAAGTCATGGTTTATCTTATACATATTTTTATGACTCTTTCCTTCTACTTGTTTCCATCCTCCTAGCCTAATATAGTTTCTGGGCCAATCTTTTAAACAGAAACAAATACCAAGAGTAGATATTTGATGCTTCTAAATTATTTTTAGCTCTTCTCCCTAAAAATACCTTAAATCTTATTACAATACATTCTTCAAATTTTCAGATTCCAAAATCAAATGAGTAAGAAAGACATAAAAATTACAGGCAATTTTTTAAAAATTAAATTCTAGTTTAATAATAATTTTTAATATTGTATGTTTTAGTTGCATTGCTTGAAGATATATTTTGAAGGCTGGCATAAACAAACTAGGAAAGAAAGTTTTAGACTTAGATTGCCACTTAAAAAATGTTTTTCTTCATATTCAAACATAATTGAATTTCCAGTAATCAAAATGCCACATTTTTTAATTTAAATCACTTTTTTTTTTTTTTTTTTTTTTGAGATGGAGTTTCGCTCTGTCGCCCAGGCTGGAGTGTAGTGGCGCGATCTCAGCTCACTGCAAGGTCCGCCTCCCGGGTTCATGCCATTCTCCTGCCTTAGCCTCCCGAGTAGCTGGGACTACAGGCGCCTGCCACCTCGCCAGGCTAGTTTTTTGTATTTTTTTTAGTAGAGACGGGGTATCACCTTGTTAGCCAGGATGGTCTCGATCTCCTGACCTTGTGATCCGCGCGTCTCGGCCTCCCAAAGTGCTGGGATTACAGGCTTGAGCCACCGCGCCCGGACTTTTTTTTTTTTTTTTTTTTTGAGATGGAGTTTCGCTCTGTCGCCCAGAGTGTAGTGGCGCGATCTCAGCTCACTTCAAGGTCCACCTCCCGGGTTCACACCATTCTCCTGCCTCAGCCTCCTGAGTAGCTGGGACTACAGGTGCCCACCACCAAACCCGGCTAATTTTTTATATTTTTAGTAGAAACGGGGTTTCACTGTGTTAGCCAGGATGATCTCGATCTCTTGACCTCGTAATCCGCCTGCCTCAGCCTCCCAAAGTGCTGGCATTACAGGGGTGAGCCACCATACCCGGCTAAACCACTTTTGTTAAAATAACTTTGTCAGGGCATAACTAGCATAGGGCCTGGCGTAAATTAGGTCTTCAGTAAAGGTTTGCTGAACTTAAGTGCATCATATGCTCCCAGGCCTCTTCAGATGCCATATCTTTTTAGTCTGTTTTTAGTAATTCGAAGACAACATTATGACCTTTCATTATTCATCTGTGTGCTAATACAGTTCTGTGGTTGTTTTCTTGTCTGTTCTTTGTCAGGCTGTCTCCAATATCCAGACTTCCTCCTGCCTTTGTAATTTGCTGCTTTTATTTTATAGAATAAAACAAACCACAGGTACTTTGAAAAGAACATCTCTTAGCACCTCTATGGTCTCAGTGACAATCATGTATCCAAAGAAAAGCCAAGCTTAGTATGGATGTTATATTAAATAAGATTCCAAGTGAGATGTAAAGTCTATAGTTTTTTTGCAGGGGGAGGGGTGCTTTTTGTGTTGGCAAATTCAGCCAGCATGAGGTTTTTTGTTTCTTTTTTGTTTTTTTGCCTTAAATCTGGATTCTAAGTTATGTTCTGGGGCTTGAAATTACCAGAAGCCTGACTGGATTTTGGGAAGTTGGGGAGGGAGTTCTAGTTCATAGGTGATATACAGTCTTTACTCTTCAGATATCTTCACTCACAAATGAAGGTAGTAGTGACAGAGAGAATGAAAACAGACACCTTTTTGCCTCCTTTAAACTTTGTTTTGGTCACATGTTCAAGTGATATATATGCTACATTCTGTTTTGATTTGGGTCAACATGGTATAAGGAGAACATCAGAAGATTTGATTCTGCTGTTGCTACTCACCAGGTGATTGGACAAATCTTTCTTTAAGTTTTCTGAGTCAACTTTCTCTTTTATAATACGAGGATAATTATTCTGTCCACCTTACAAGGTTATGACAGAATGAGAATAAGGTTAATGGTGTGAAATCCTTTAAAACATTGAAATGCTACGTAATGTGTGTTCTGTTTACTATTGGTATTTAAACTGTACCTGGAAAAAGACTGTTCTTTTACTGAGTATAGTACTATTACCAGTCTTAATGTGACTTTTTTCCTGAGCAGCTTGTTCTATATATTCGTGTAGGCAAAAACAGCTGGAAGACATCCTGGTTCTGGCCAAACAGTTCCATGAGACAGCTGAGCCTATTTCGGACTTCTTATCTGTCACAGAGAAAAAGCTTGCTAACTCAGAACCTGTTGGCACTCAGACTGCCAAAATACAGCAGCAGATCATTCGACACAAGGTAGGGAATGGTTACAGTAAATGAAAACAGAAAACTGGATTTAGAAATCCTAGAAATGAGTAAACTGCCTGCAGCGTTCTCGAGGATGTGTGTTTTGTGGGTTTAACTTAAAATATGATCAGATTATTAATTGGAAAAGTCACATTCTTGAAATACAAATAGAAATTGATAAGCTACCATTGGAATAAACAGCTTTTGTTCCCAATTTTTGTATTATTTTTGCCCTTCAGTCGGTGAATTTTTTAATTGTTTAATTTGTTGTATCATTTGTTAATTCATTTTGTGTTTACTTTTCATTTATTTTGTTTCTGTTATTCATTTTTTCCATCTGGATTTCCAGGCTCTGGAAGAAGACATAGAAAACCATGCAACAGATGTGCACCAGGCAGTCAAAATTGGGCAGTCCCTCTCCTCCCTGACATCTCCTGCAGAACAGGGTGTGCTGTCAGAAAAGATAGACTCATTGCAGGCCCGATACAGTGAAATTCAAGACCGCTGTTGTCGGAAGGCAGCCCTGCTTGAACAAGCTCTGTCTAATGCTAGGCTGTTTGGGGAGGATGAGGTGGAGGTGCTCAACTGGCTGGCTGAGGTTGAGGACAAGCTCAGTTCAGTATTCGTAAAGGATTTCAAACAGGATGTCCTGCACAAACAGCATGCTGACCACCTGGTATTCATGTTTCCATTTTTATTGGTTATGTTATTTTGTTATTTTGATTCATGTTTCTCTTCATTTATTTATTTTTTTTCTTCATTACACACACTTCAACTTTATTTTATACACAAGTACCTAGTTTGTGGACTTGTTGACTGCCTATCTGTTTTTGAATGAGTCCATGGAAATACTTATATTTAACAAGTTGAATCAGTAATTCTAGAAGATAGTACAGGGTGTAGTCAGTCAGGGGCCATCTGAACTCCAACTCATGATTTACGTTATTAGCTGATGGGTCACTAAGATTCTATTTGAGCAGTTTTATGAAAGATAATGTACTTTAACAAAAGCAGATCTATATATGTAGTGCCCAGGATTTGATATTAGATCAAGTTAGAACTTTTAGGATATTTCTGGATTTGCTCAAATTCCAGGGATTCTGTGTCATCTTAATAGAAGAGTTTGCCTTTTTCATTTCACTTTTATGAAATCTGTTTGGAAGCAGTAAAGATAGGTAATTTTTCTTATAGTCTGATTCTTTTGCTTCATTAACTTTAAACATGAAGAGAGTTTTTAACCAGGATTCTGTTTTAAGTCAATTTGTTCTTACTGAATTTCTTCTCTTGAACTTTCTGTTTATTCCTCATTTTGGACACAGTAGACAATTTTGCTGAATTTCACTTCTACCTTTCTTGGGTTCAGGTTTGGTACCAATAGATTGGTAAAGCTGATGTAATTCTAAGTTTTTCTCATCCAGTACTTAGGAAAGCTTGCCTATAGGTATCTGATTTAATTATTTTAAATAGTCAGTGGGCTCACCAAAGAGAAAATGAGGGGATCAAATATCTGATGTTTAAATTAAACTAGTATTCATCTCTTTACTTTAAATTTGGTCTCTTAAGGGTCTCACATTTTGTTTCCTTTGTAGTGCCACAGTTTTGGCATTAATGGTATTCTTTCCTTTCAGGCTTTAAATGAAGAAATTGTTAATAGAAAGAAGAATGTAGACCAAGCTATTAAAAATGGTCAGGCTCTTCTAAAACAAACCACAGGTACTTTGAAAAGTGCGTCTCTTAGCACCCCTACGGTCTCAAAGACGATCATGTACCCAAGGAAAGGAGTTCCCTGCCTTAGCCTCCTCTCTATGTATATATGAGAAGCTTAGTATTCACTGATTGTATTCCCTGCTGTGCTCCAGAAGGTTATTTCCTGCTAAATCTTTTGAAAACTACAACGTTGTCTCACATCTGGTTATAGATGGTGATTTCGCTTCTCCTTCAATAGAGGAGCCAGCATCCACTGAAAGGTGCTGGGAACATCTAGAAACATTTGAAGCTGAACTCAGATTTTAATAATTCAGAAATGGCTTCTTTTATCCAGTTGAAAGTTTATTTTAAGGCCGGGTGCGGTGGCTCAAGCTTGTAATCCCGAGACGGGCGGATCACAAGGTCAGGAGATCCAGACCATCCTGGCTAACACGGTGAAACCTCGTCTCTATTAAGAAATACAAAAAACTAGCCGGGCGAGGTGGCGGGCGCCTGTAGTCCCAGCTACTCGGGAGGCTGAGGCAGGAGAATGGCGTGAACCTGGGAGGCGGGGCTTGCAGTGAGCTGAGATCCGGCCACTGCACTCCAGCCTGGGTGACAGAGCAAGACTCCGTCTCAAAAAAAAAAAAAAAGTTTATTTTATTTCCCATTTGCCCTTAGTATGGGATGGGTGAAATCATTACCACAGAGAGAGAGAGCGTCTATGAAATTAAAGCTCTGGCCGGGCGCGGAGGCTCAAGCCTGTAATCCCAGCACTTTGGGAGGCCAAGACGGGCGGATCACGAGGTCAGGAGATCGAGACCATCCTGGCTAACACGGTGAAACCCGGTCTCTACTAAAAAAATACAAAAAAACGGCCGGGCGCGGTGGCTCACGCCTGTAATCCCAGCACTTTGGGAGGCCGAGACGGGCGGATCACGAGGTCAGGAGATCGAGACCATCCTGGCTAACACGGTGAAACCCCGTCTCTACTAAAAAATACAAAACACTAGCCGGGCGAGGTGGCGGGCGCCTATAGTCCCAGCTACTCGGGAGGCTGAGGCAGGAGAATGGCGTGAACCCGGGAGGCGGAGCTTGCAGTGAGCTGAGATCCGGCCACCGCACTCCAGCCTGGGTGACAGAGCGAGACTCCGTCTCAAAAAAAAAAAAAAAATACAAAAAAACTAGCCGGGCGAGGTGGCGGGCGCCCGTAGTCCCAGCTACTTGGGAGGCTGAGGCAGGAGAATGGCGTAAACCCGGGAGGCGGAGCTTGCAGTGAGCTGAGATCCCGCCACTGCACTCCAGCCTGGGCGACAGAGCGAGACTCCGTCTCAAAAAAAAAAAAAAAGAAATTAAAGCTCTGATTTGAAGAAAGGGGATCAGAGAATCCTCATTCCTAGATCTCTTAAATATGAATAATTGTGTGCTATCTTCCATAGGTGAGGAGGTGTTACTTATCCAGGAAAAACTAGATGGAATAAAGACTCGTTACACAGACATCACAGTTACTAGCTCCAAGGCCCTCAGAACTTTAGAGCAAGCCCGGCAACTGGCCACCAAGTTCCAGTCTACTTACGAGGAACTGACCGGGTGGCTGAGGGAGGTGGAGGAGGAGCTGGCAGCCAGTGGAGGACAGTCTCCCACAGGGGAGCAGATACCCCAGTTTCAGCAAAGACAGAAGGTGAGCTGTTATTTTACCGTAAAAGGGAAAAAAGCCTTCCTCTTTATCAGAATCCTTAAGTTTTATCAACCTTGACCTTAAATATAAACTAAAAATGTGTGCCCCCCTTTCTTGTTTACTCATGGACAGTAAGAATTGACATAAAGACATGTATGTTACACATACATTATGAAGAAGAAAGTTGAATCAAGTTTGCTTTGTAACATTTTATAACTTACCTCTATTATTTATTCTCTAAAGAGTGCTTCATGGTTTTATTTGATTTCTCTGCAGGATCTAGTATAGTTCTAGATGCATAGAACTATTGTATAGGTACTTGTTAGGTTAAATACTGAGCCTTTGGTTAAAGCATTATTTGTCATTTCTGTTGAAGCAAGGAGATGAAAGAAGTATTACTTGTTTTACCCAGAGACAGTCTGGCTCAAAAAGTCTTACAGACAATTCTAAACAAGCAACAGTGAAGTCTAGTCAGGCTTCAGAATGATTGAAAAATCTGAGATGAGAAAAAAATAACTGAAGGAAGGAGGTCAGAGTCCTGCTGGGATGTGTGGTGGTAGAGATAGCACTTTCCACCCAGCACAGCTGCTGATGTGCTTTATTTAGCAAGGTATGGCCTGAAAACTCTTTTCCCTCCTTAGGAATTAAAGAAGGAGGTCATGGAGCACAGGCTGGTGTTGGACACAGTGAATGAGGTGAGCCGTGCTCTCTTAGAGCTGGTGCCCTGGAGAGCCAGAGAAGGGCTGGATAAACTTGTGTCCGATGCTAACGAGCAGTACAAACTAGTCAGTGACACTATTGGACAAAGGGTGGATGAAATTGATGCTGCTATTCAGAGATCACAACAGGTAATGTTTATAATACCTCTGCATTAATATTTTAGACAGTATTGATGTGTGAGATTCAGTACTATGACCCACATAAATACAGACTCAGAAATAAGAATGAGCTCAAGCTAAATCTGATGGAATAAATATGTTTCATTGATGGGAAATGATTGGGTAGAAGTTTATGAAGATGGATCCAGGATTTGACCAAAATACTTGACCCCTTTGAGTAGAGAAGTACTTGGAGAAGAGTCTACATGAGGCCTTTTCTTAGCTAATGCCCTGCTAAGAAGGCTGATGGTGATGGGAGTAGATAATATCTAGATTCAAAAGGTCCAAATGCATCACAGTCTTAGTTTGACATGATTAACTCTCTTAGCATTAGATGGAAGAGGGGACGGAATCAAGAACTATAATTACTATCAAATATGCAAACCAAAATAGCAGAACTATCTAAAATAGAACCTTCTCGGTAAACACAGGTGTCATATTTCCCATGATCTTTTTTCCTTCCTGCTTTCTGGAAAAAAATCATTTGTTCTTTTGTGTAGCTGGATACATACCACTTAATGTGCCGCAGTACAAAAAATAAGTTAATATAACTCCTTAGGATCATAGTGATGAACGTATGCTTTTTGAACCACACAGAAATTTGCTCTGAGTCCAGGTGTATCCCCAATGTGTCTTTAGAGTTATCCCTAATCTTGGCCAGGTATGTCAATATGAAATTTATTGTGCTTGGGAGAAGCATATTTTAAATATCAATGTATATTGGCCAAGTTGAAGAGGAAGAGATAAAAGACTGGGGAGGTCAGGCATAGGAGACGGGGCTCACACCTGTAGTCCCAGCACTTTGGGAGGCTAAGGCAGGAGAATCCCTTGAGGGCAAGAGTTCGAGACCAGCCTGGGCAACATAACAAGACACCATCTCTACAGAAATATTAAAAAATTAGCCAAGCATGGTGGCAATTGCCTATGTAGTCCTAGCTATTAGAGAGGCTGAGGTGGGAGGATCACTTGAGCCTAGGAGTTAGAGGCTACAGTGAGCTATGATTGTGCTACTGCACTCCAGCCTGAGCAACAGAATCAGACCCTGTCTCTGAGGGGGCAAGGAAGGGGGGAAGATTGGGGAGCCTTCATGAAACAACAGTCACGTAGAACATGTTCTTTGTTTTCGTTATTACATAACCATTTAAAAATGGTGTTGTTCTTCTGGGGTTTTGTGCTACTTCAGCTGAGCGGGCACTTCCAAGTTAGCTTGACTCAGCTGTCTACTGCCATATTAGGTTTACATTTAAACATCTGACTAAACCTACTGTTCCATGTCTGGGTAGGAAAGAGCAATGGCAGGAAGAGTATAGTCTCATAAAAACACTGATTAGAAGCATATTTCTTTTGAAGGGGATTGATATCTGTTACTTCTAGCTGTAGAAACTGAGTTCTGTAACTTATTTTAAAGAAATTGAAATATGGTCAGTTCTAACTTGTTTGCATCTTGAATTGTGATTTTATGAAATTCTTCCCAGTTTGGACTCTACTTTGTGAGATATAAACTATATTACTGAAAATCCAGGCCCTGCTGTGTTGAATAAATTACAGTTCTGAGGAGACTTGGCTGTATATAATTTGTTTATTTTTCTTTAATACGTCTATTAGTATGAGCAAGCTGCCGATGCAGAACTAGCTTGGGTTGCTGAAACAAAACGGAAACTGATGGCTCTGGGTCCAATTCGCCTGGAACAGGACCAGACCACAGCTCAGCTTCAGGTACAGAAGGTATGTGCCCACTCTTTCCTGAGCTAACAGAATCATCAGTAACTTAGAGTGACAAGGAGAGTTTCGGACTATCCCATGTCAAGTGGAATAATTTAATGGCGTGATGGTAAATAGAAATTAATTTTCTATGTACTTGGTTGAGACGAGGAAGAATTTTTTTTTTTTTTTTTTTGCTTTGTAAGAAAGGAAAAATAGGCCCATTAATCCATAATTAGCAATTTCCTTGGTGATTTTTAGGAGAGTAGAAATTTTTGTAAGCTAGTAAAAAGATAAGCTAAAGAAGATGTTGGATAGGCAAAGTGTCAAACTGTATAAGAACAATTTTTAATGTGGCTTTTTCATGGATTTTGTCTTAACCTTCAGTAACACAGGAAAAGGGTCTTTTTACTTCTTGACTTAACTACATTTTACTTTTCAAAGGCTTTCTCCATTGACATTATTCGACACAAAGATTCAATGGATGAACTCTTCAGTCACCGTAGTGAAATCTTTGGCACATGTGGGGAGGAGCAGAAAACTGTATTACAGGTGAATTACATTTATTTATTTGCCATATTGTTCCTGTCTTGATCATGGTGAATTAGAAGCACAATTGTGAAATGATGGTTTAAGGCTTTTTCCTTCCTGGACTTTTCTTACAATTGTTATTACAGTCCAGCTTTATCCTTCTAAAAGGTCATACCTAAGTTTTAAAAGGATTGGTCAAGATAGTTTGTTGACAGGTTTTTTTGTTTTGTTTTGTTTTGTTTTATAAAGGATATATTTAACCACAGTTTCCTCAGAAATACTCATAAACTGACTGAGCTACTCATCCTAAACATTTGAAGCATAAATGGCAGGTTTCTGGAGACTTTTTTTTAATCAGAAGAAAAATGACAGGCAAAACTTGGATAGGCAAAGATTCCATCGTAGCCCCTTAGATGTTCAGTTTTAAACTGATCCATTATAATAACACTATATTGGCCAGGCACGGTGGCTGATGCCTGTTATCCCAGCGTTTTGGGAGGCCAAGGTGGGTAGATTACCTGAGGTCAGCAGTTTGAGACCAGCCTGGCCAACATGGAGAAACCCTGTCTCTACTAAAAATACAAAAATTAGCTGGACCTGGCGGCGGGAACCTGTAATCCCAGCTACTCGGGAAGCTGAAGCAGGAGAATCCCTTGAACCCAGGAGGCGGAGGTTGCAGTGAGCCGAGATCACGCCACTGCACTCCAGCCTTGGTGACAAAGTGAGACACTGTCTCAAAAACATATATAATAATAATAATGCTATATCTAAGGTTGTGTGTCATTACTGAAAGATTAAATTTGCTGTGTTTTTCTTACACTATTTTACTGCCTTTTAAACTTTTATCTTTTAAAAATTAGAAATAAAATATATGTATGATAGGAAAATTAGAAAATTTCAGTTAAGTATAAAGAAGAAAATAAAAATCACTTCTAATCTTTATTCATATTTTAAAATAATTTATTTGTGTATTCTTTTAGACTTTTTAATGTATATATACCTACTTTTTTTCTTAAGAGTTTATAATAGTAATACTTAAACTTTTTTTTTTTTTTTTACTCACATAGGAAAAGACAGAGTCTCTAATACAGCAATATGAAGCCATTAGCCTACTCAATTCAGAGCGTTATGCCCGCCTAGAGCGGGCCCAGGTCTTAGTAAACCAGTTTTGGGAAACTTACGAAGAGCTCAGCCCCTGGATTGAGGAAACTCGGGCACTAATAGCACAGTTACCCCCTCCAGCCATTGATCATGAGCAGCTCAGGCAGCAACAAGAGGAAATGAGGGTAAGGAGCATGCCAAATTTCATTTTATTGCTCTAAAATGGTCTCTATAATTTATTTAAAAACAACATTTCTTAGTGTCTATAGGTGCAAGTTCTGTGTTATGAAGTTAATTCTTAATCAGTTAGAATTCCTTTCATAATATATAATCTGAATTATTTCCTTTGTTGTTTAATATCAATTGATTAAACACTAAGATTATAGAGATATCGAGAACCTTGGAATGACAGAGCTAAAGAAACAACTCACTAAAAATCAATGGAATTTAAAATATTTCCGGGGATAGTAGCATGTTGTTACACTCAAGGTGTGGTTGGATGGTACTTTCTACTTAGGCACCAACTGGAGTGAAAGCCATGAGGTAATGTCAGAAGGCATTTGCTCTGTATAGTTAATGACACTTTAAAATGTTTATTTCTGGTTTATGGCTTGTGCTTATTGCTATTCCTATAAGTGGAAGGATATAAACTAGACTTAGCCAACAGTAAAGTCAAGGAGTGGTTGGATTGCCAAAAATGTTGCTATTCATAGCTTATCCAGCTTGGTATCTCAGTCTGGGGAGGTAGACAATTATTAAACCATGTAGAGTAAAATAGAATACATAGAAGTACTTATGATTACAGAAGAGTGTGGAGTAGACTTGTATGACACAGGTGGTAGGGGAAGAGAAGAGAGGATGTTTCCAGGAAGGCTGCTAGGGTGATGAGACATCAGAACTGACTTTTAAAAATTAAGAGAATTGGGTAGAGTCAGAACCTAAGATTTAGGTGTTTTTCTGTTCCTGCACAAATGGTGAGATGCTGGGCCTTGCTGGTTTTTAACAATTTTGTTTGTTCCTCTTAAAGTTGATATTAGCTCTGAACAAAGTAAGTGAACTGGTATAAAAGTATTCATTATGGTTTAATTATTTTTTTACCTAGCAATTAAGGGAATCTATTGCTGAACACAAACCTCATATTGACAAACTACTAAAGATAGGCCCACAACTAAAGGAATTAAACCCCGAGGAAGGGGAAATGGTGGAAGAAAAATACCACAAAGCAGAAAACATGTATGCCCAAATAAAGGAGGAGGTGCGCCAGCGAGCCCTGGCTCTGGATGAGGCCGTGTCCCAGTCCGCACAGGTATGTGTGTGTCTGACACTCATAACCTTCAACTGTCTGCTGTTCTAAACAAGAGGTCTCTGTATCGGGTATGCCTCTGTGCTCAGCAATGTCCAGACCAGCATGTTAATACTTGATTGGTATATAGAACAGAAAGCTTAGCCTATCTGCATTTTTATTCCAAGGAACATTGGCATACTGACATTCTGAGGAGAGTGAAATGCATCTTGGCTGGTATATATTGTCTGTTGATGGTTTCTCTGAAAACTTTATGTTGTGATGATCCTTTAGCACATGATTTTGGATAAATCTACCTTGCAGATTCAAAAGCAGTGACTGCCTCAAAAAAGTACTTGTTGAACCTGTTACTTTTTAGCTTTAGAGCAACAGCACATTAGTTTTCTTAAGCAACCAGCTAACTCATATTTAAGATGCTTGAGTAGGGAGTAGTAAGAGCCAAAGAGAAGCATAAACCAGCAGAGGGGTTTAAAGCATGTAACTACATACTTTCAACTAATATATTACTCTTAGTGGTACTGTTGTCATGTCTGGGTATTTTATTCCTATGTTTAGTCAATATTCTTGGTTAATATTTGTACTTACTCAAGTTTCTCCCCCCACCTTCCGTCCCATCTCTCACTCACATTGTGGAATGTGTTACTTTGTGTTGTTGCTGCCTGCTCCTGTCTTCCCCACATCGTCACATTTCATTGTTGTGTTGACCGCGCCCACCATTACAGATTACAGAGGTAAGGTACCCATCCCCATTGGGACTAGGGTGTTCTTATAATGCTGAAAATTGAGGTCATTACCTATAAGGGAATTTCCCTTAACTTTAGTGGAATAAATTTAATTAGTGCAGTTTATTATGTCAGTTTCATCTGGGGTGGAACCTAGACGTGAGAGAGTGATGGGAAGTGATTTTGTTAAAAGGAGTCCCACCATGTTTTTTCTATAGGACACTTGAAATTGATAAGCCTTTCTCTAACTAAAACCAGAGTTGGTTTGAGATAGATTTTTTCTTAGGAGGCAAGCTTATCTGTTTTGCTCTCTTTTCTCCCCTCTCTGCATCAAATTTTAATGAGAACTTTTCAGTTGTAGTCATGTTCTTCAAAGTACCAGAAAACTGGGACAGTAATAATTCTTTAAGAACAAGGTTAGATTTGGTCTTCCTTAATTACCTTAAATTATTCCAACATTTTTTCCTCTTATTGTTCCATAAGGTGGGTCATTAAATTGCATGCCATGATACTTTTAAACTACAAGTCGTGTAGCATATTAAGTTCCCCATCCATTTACACAGCTGGTGGAGGGCATCTAACTTGTTGGTCTAGTCTGTTGCATGCAACTGTCATCTCAGATGTTGACATACTGACTCTCAGCAGTTTCATAGTCTTGTCCCTTTTTTGTTACATGAGTTGGAATAGGAGAAATATTGTGGCAGCACTAAAGATTTGAATTGGTTTCTAGTATATTCATATATTTAGAGTCTTAAAAGAAATATTGGCTTTTTTTTTTTTTTTTTCTAATGGGCCAGTTCTGGTGTACTATGCCCAAAACAGTTTTGTAGTTTTTTTGTGTGTTTTTTGTTTTGTATTGTTTTGTTTTGTTTGAGACAGAGTCTTACTCTGTCACCCAGGCTGGAGTGCAGTGGCACAATCTCAGCTCACTGCAACCTCTGCCCCCCAGGTTCAAGTGATTCGTGCCTCAGCCTCCCTAGTAGCTGGGACTACAGGCGCACACCACCAAGGCCGGCTAATTTTTTGTATTTTTATTAGGGACAGAGTTTCACCATGTTGGCCAGGCTGGTCTCGAACTCCTGACCTCAGGTGATCCACACACCTCAGCCTCCCAAGGTGCTGGGAGTGAGCCACACAGGTGTGAGCCACTGCCCCTCACACACACAGGTGTGAGCCACTGCCCCTGGCCCAAAACAGTTTCTTAACCAAACTCAACACTTAACAGCCATTGGGCTAGACTGAGCACAGGTTATCCTAAACAGTACTAGGACAATATCTTGTCCTTATTCCTTAACATTTCCCCAAGAAGAGTGATGAGGTATGCTGTGATGGTAATGTTCCAACATTTGTTTAGTTTCATGATAAAATTGAGCCTATGTTGGAGACACTGGAGAATCTTTCCTCTCGCCTACGTATGCCACCACTGATCCCTGCTGAAGTAGACAAGATCAGAGAGTGCATCAGTGACAATAAGAGTGCCACCGTGGAGCTAGAAAAACTGCAGCCATCCTTTGAGGCTTTGAAGCGCCGTGGAGAGGAGCTTATTGGACGATCTCAGGGAGCAGACAAGGATCTGGCTGCAAAAGGTGCTTGATGACTGTCATTATTTTTAAAAATCAACAGAATAAATTCTAGGCTGTGGTTATTTTCAGCATCCCACCAGATTTATTTCTTTCTTTGAATGTAAAGGCAGTCCCCAGTAATGAGTATTCCAGAAAGTCATTGGAAAATCATTTGGAATTCAGAACACATTTCCCCATTGAAACAAGGTTACAATTGGTAGTTAGATTCCCAGGCCAGGAAACAAAAGCTCCTTTAACCCCTAACGTGAGTAAACTACGGTATCAGTAGTGGGTAGAACATAGCTACCTTTTGTAACACTTTCCATGGGAAACATACAAGTTTAACACAGAACATTGGAAACAGAGTTCTCATCTCAGCCCTTTTGTAAGTTAGGGGTTTTGCACTACCTTTATAGTAGGTGATAGCTCATTTCTGGATTACTTCTGTAATCCCTTTATGTGGGAGACCAATGTAAGAGGAAAACGCTAGTGTAGAAATAGGCCAGGGCCACCCGCAGTGGCTCATGCCTGTAACCCCAGCACTTTGGGAGGCTGAGGTGGGCAAATCACTCAAGGCCAGGAGTTCGACACCAGCCTGGCCAACATAGCAAAATTTTGTAAAAATACAAAAATTGGCTGGGCGTGGTGGTGTGCGCCTGTAACCTCAACCATTCAGGAGGCTGAGGTGGAAGAATCACTTGAACCTGGGAGGCAAGTGAGCCAAGATCACGCCGCTGCACTCCAGCCTGGGTGACAGAGTGAAATTCCCTCTCTTTAAAAAAAAAAAACAGAAAGAAAGAAAGAAAGAAATAATAGGCCAGGTGCGGTGGCTCATGCTGATAATCCAAGCACTTTGGGAGGGCAAAGTGGGTGGATCACCTGAGGTCAGGAATTTGAGACCAGCCTGGCCAACATGGTGAAACCCCGACTCTACTAAAAATATAAAAATTAGCCGGGCATGGTGGCGCATGCCTGTAATCCTAGCTACTTGGGAGGCTAAGGCAGGAGAATCTCTGGAACCCGGAGGCAGAGGTTGCAGTGAGCCGAGATTGCACCACTGCACTCCAGTCTGGGTGACAAGAGCGAGACTCCGTCTCAAAAAAGAAAAGAAGAAAAGAAAGAAAGAATAGTAAAACTAAAATAGAAAATTATCCTTTAGTTATAAATGCTTAGCATTTTTTTTTAAAGATAGTTTCGTTGAAAAGGTCAGAGTTAGATGGAATTTCTGAAGAGACCAATTTCAGGCTCTTAGGGAAGTTCTATTCATATCTCTTTTTTTAACCTGCTCAGAAATCCAGGATAAATTGGATCAAATGGTATTCTTCTGGGAGGACATCAAAGCTCGGGCTGAAGAGCGAGAAATCAAATTTCTTGATGTCCTTGAATTAGCGGAGAAGTTCTGGTATGACATGGCAGCTCTCCTGACCACCATCAAAGACACCCAGGATATTGTCCATGACTTGGAAAGCCCAGGCATTGATCCTTCCATCATCAAACAACAGGTTGAAGCTGCTGAGGTAAGAAGGAAACAAAACCTTTTCTTTTAGGTGTCTGTCCTCTAGAAAAAGCACTTTATCAAATCAAAGTGAGGTATGTTAATAGCTTAGCCAGGCTGAGCACCTTAAAGGTTTCTGTTTTTGTTTTTGTTTTTTGCTCTTGTCACCCAGGCTGGAATGCAATTGCATGATCTTGGCTCACTGCAACCTCCGCCTCCCGGGTTCAAGCGGTTCTCCTGCCTCAACCTCCTGAGTAGCTGGGATTACAGGCATGCACCACTATGCCTGGCTAATTTTTGTATTTTTAGTAGAGACGGGCGGGGGGGGGTTTCCCCCCATATTGACCAGCTGGTTCCAAATTCCTGACCTCAGATGATCCACCCACCTCGGCCTCCCAAAGTGCTGGGATTACAGGTGTGAGCCACTGCTCCAGGCCTAAAGTTTCTTTTTAAGTTGAGACATTCTCCAATTGAAAAAAACCTGCTCATTATATTACATTTCTTAAGTGTAGAAAAATAGACGGTAGACAATAAAAATCGATTTTTGGACTCATTATCTAGAGATAACAGTTGTTACTTTGACATACTTTTTTCTAGTCTTTTGGTGCTTTTTTCTTTTTTTTCTTTTTTTTTATTTTTATTTTTTATTTTTATTTTTTTGAGACAGCCTCTCATTGCAACCCAGGCTGGATTGCAGTGGCACGATCTTGGCTCACTGCAACCTCCACCTCCCAGGCTCAAGCAATCCAGCCATCTCAGCCTACCTAGTAGCTGGGACTACAGTCATATGCCACCACACCCGGCTATTTTTTTGGAGGCAGGAAGGGATGAACCTTTGGTAAATGATTGAAGCTCACTGTGCCTTTTCTGTACTATTTTATATATACATATATCTATATGTAATACATATTTTGTGTATATGAAAAATAACCACTTAGAGTCTGAAGCTTTAGCGTCCAGATAAGTGAAATTGACAGTTACATTGCTCATCTGCTATTGATGGGGTATAAATCACATTTGCAAAGTTTGGTAAGTTCTGTTCTGTTTTCTGTTTTGGCTTATATTCTGTTCATTTACATGTAGACTATTAAGGAAGAGACAGATGGTCTGCATGAGGAGCTGGAGTTTATTCGGATCCTTGGAGCAGATTTGATTTTTGCCTGTGGAGAAACTGAGAAGCCTGAAGTGAGGAAGAGCATTGATGAGGTGTGGAGAAATGGATGAGGCATTCAGTTAGAACATTAGTGGGCTCAGACTGAAGAGTGATACTGATTGAAGAATGTGATTGAATGTTTTTCCCCTAGATGAATAATGCTTGGGAGAACTTAAACAAAACATGGAAAGAGAGGCTAGAAAAACTTGAGGATGCTATGCAAGCTGCTGTGCAGTATCAGGACACTCTTCAGGTGAGAGGCCAGTAGGTGACCACCAAGGAAATACAGGTTCTGTTTTTTGTCATTTTTATCATTTTCAGAATTCAGCACAAGAGTGGATCACCTTCACAGGACTGCAGACCTAAGATAGTGCTATTTCCACAAATCTAGCCAAAGTTCCCCACTTGTAGTGAAAAAAGTAGTGACATCTGTCTGAATTCTTACTCTTCCTGCCATTTTTATCGTTCCCTGCTCATCATAGATTCATTCAACTATGTTGTGAAGCTGGTCTTACTGTGAAAGTCATTGCTTGCCAGAGGTTCCAAACCCAGGTTATCTTCAAGCACAGTTTGGCACAGTTACTTCAGAACACCATGAGCTTGCTAGCTGGGATTGAGAAATCTTAACTTTTATTCAAATTTAGTTCATTTCCAAATTGTACTTTATTTTGAACATTATTTTGATAATGTTGGCTCCATTATTAAATCACTGTATTATTAAAAAGATCATTATTCCTTATCTGTGCCCCTTACCTAAAATCACAAACAGCACAAGGTGCTTTGATTGATTTATGTCTTCTTATGTTAGCAGGGATAATGTTCATTCTCTCCCAAATACTTCTGGTTGTTTTTGACTGTTTACTTGTCTTTTGTTCTAGTCTATGTTTGACTGGCTAGATAACACTGTGATTAAACTCTGCACCATGCCCCCTGTTGGCACGGACCTCAATACTGTTAAAGATCAGTTAAATGAAATGAAGGTTTGTATCTGGGTATGGCTTTTGAAGAAGAGTTGTTTTATTTTAGTTTTTAAAGACTTGATTTGATGTTAACATTGAGTGTGTCTTTGGCAGGAGTTCAAAGTCGAAGTTTACCAGCAGCAAATTGAGATGGAGAAGCTTAATCACCAGGGTGAACTGATGTTAAAGAAAGCTACTGATGAGACAGACAGAGACATTATACGAGAACCACTGACAGAACTCAAACACCTCTGGGAGAACCTGGGTGAGAAAATCGCCCACCGACAGGTAAGGCAGGTGGTAGATGACATCAGTGAACTACTCTCTGCTCTTTTCTAATTTCCTAATGAATGTTCCCTTTCTGTCTTTTCCTGAGTAGCACAAACTAGAAGGTGCTCTTTTGGCCCTTGGTCAGTTCCAACATGCCTTAGAGGAACTAATGAGTTGGCTGACTCATACTGAAGAGTTGTTAGATGCTCAGAGACCAATAAGTGGAGACCCAAAAGTCATTGAAGTTGAGCTTGCAAAACACCATGTAAGTATTTTCATTTCTTCATCTCTAACCCTATTGAGACCAGATAATTGCCACCAGAAGCAATCGAATGTTGTGTATACCTTAGAGAACCAAGTTAGATGATCTCCATGGAGATAAATTATGTTGTTCAACATTTTTTAGGTCCTAAAAAATGATGTTTTGGCTCATCAAGCCACAGTGGAAACAGTCAACAAAGCTGGCAATGAGCTTCTTGAATCCAGTGCTGGAGATGATGCCAGCAGCTTAAGGAGCCGTTTGGAAACCATGAACCAATGCTGGGAGTCAGTGTTACAGAAAACAGAGGAGAGGGAGCAGCAGCTTCAGTCAACTCTGCAGCAGGTACATGTGACATCCAAGTGAGGTAGGAAGAGCTATACAGATAACAGAAAGCCTGTCTAAGAGAGAGGAGATCAATTTGAAAAGCAAAGAACCCCTTATGTCTTGAGGGGAAGGTTCATACTGTGCTGTAATTTATCTGGAAAGAGCAGCTTTTGATTGGGTAGTTCTTTTTTGAATTCGTTTGTAGCTCAGTCTTTTTATTCACTATTCAAAGTTAGTAGAGCTTCACTTGTATGATTCCCTTTTTGTGTTGGATCAAGTCAGGTCTCTCCCTGTTCAAGAGTACCTTAATCATATAGTCAATTCACCTGATTGTGTCAGGCATTTATAATATGTTATAGTGAGGTCTAAAGGGTTCTGCTAGATTCTAACAATAATATTGGCCCCATGCTAATCTGGCAACAGAACAGCTTTGCCAGAGAGCAGCCCAGAATTCCTCCCTCAAGATAAATTCCTCATATCATTTGGAAAGTTTACTTTTGAAGCTGAGAATTGATTACTGATGTGGTTGACATATCTTTTTCTATATCTTTTTCTCAAAAGGCCCAGGGCTTCCACAGTGAAATTGAAGATTTCCTCTTGGAACTTACTAGAATGGAGAGCCAGCTTTCTGCATCTAAGCCCACAGGAGGACTTCCTGAAACTGCTAGGGAACAGCTTGATACACATATGGTAATAGCAGTTTTTTTAAATTGAGTATAAGCATCCCATATTCAATAGCTCCCTTCCAAGTTCATAGTGATGTATTAATATGTATCTGGAAATCTACAAAGAAGTGCATTTTTACCAAAAATATAGTATAACCTTTGGGGATTGCTCCCTGTTACAGGCTTCTAATACCTTACAGTAGGCAGCAGTAGTGACAGGCAAGGGTCAGCTGGAAATTTTGAGTTAATCGGCTTTATTGGCACACATATATTGACTTGAAGATGACAGCATCAAGAAGAAAAATATATAACACAGATGTGTTTGTACTTAAGAAGGAAACTACTTAATGGAGGTTTACGGAAATCAAATAGTTACTAACAGTATTTCAAGAATGCATGCTAGAACCAAAAGCAACATAATTTCTAGGCAAATTTTTCATGAAAAGTGGAAATAGATTATTGGAGTCTTTTGAGGGATCTCTAATCCTTAAAAAATGTTTTTCTTCTATGGGTGATAAAATTATTTTAACATTTTAATTTGTCACTTGTTATTTTATTTAGTAAAATATGTTAATATTTACATTTTAATACAAATGAATTCTAAGCAATTAGTATTTCCTTATTACAGCTACTTTTATTATTAAGTATGGTGGGTCTCATTCCCTTATAGCTCAGCACTTGCACTGATTCCAAAAGAATGGCTTTTAATCAAGATGATCTCTTCCTGGACTTTCCCAGACTCTGCTACAGAATCTATATGTAGGTGTCTTCCAGAGAATGGGTATAATTGATATCTTTCCTGCCTTTTCTTGTAGGAACTCTATTCCCAGCTGAAAGCCAGGGAAGAGACTTATAATCAACTACTTGACAAGGGCAGACTCATGCTTCTAAGCCGTGATGACTCTGGGTCTGGCTCCAAGACAGAACAGAGTGTAGCACTTTTGGAGCAGAAGTGGCATGCGGTCAGCAGTAAGATGGAAGAAAGAAAGGTACAGTGTATGATCCCCATGTTTGAGTAATTTACTGACTGATTGCATGTATAATAATTGCCATCTCATTTATATGAAGATTTTTTGAAGACCAGGGTATTGTAACAGAAGTTGCAGAACTGATTCTGTCCGTGTTGAGTCGCATTGATGTTATAAGTTTCTGTTGTTGTTTGCTTATATAATTATTCATTCCTTACCTGTTAAGACATTACTGCCATTGTTGCTCTGTGGTGGGTTTTATGTCCTATATTAATCATCAATTTGTGTTCTACTTAAAAACAAGATTTTGCTGGAATTGGTGTCTTGGAGTTAAGAGATTGGGGACAGGGCATGTAGGGACGATGACTAATAATTCTCCACAAGGAATTTGGTTCCTAATGTAAATGCAGTATGCAAGGAAATTTACTAGAAATCAGGAGAGAAGTAAATTATATGACCTCTTCCTACTCATCCTCAAAGATCAAATTCTCTTCTCTACAAAATAATGAAAGATGATTAGGGATGAAGGTGTTTGCCCAAAAAGATTATTTTTTATGAGTACAGAGTTTCACTGTATTTTTTGCTGGTCAGATCAAGCATGCAATATATACATAAACCTGTTGACCACATTCACTCAATGAATAGTTATTGAGCAAGTGTGTGCCAAGCCCCGTGCCTGATTTATGGTGGAAACACTAAAGATGACCCTATCATTGGGAAATTAATGAACAGAAGGACATAAAACACATGAATATCTTGAGAGAAGCATTAATTTCCTAAAAGCCTTCTAGCATGGGATTGGGTAATTTGGTTATATAAAGAATGGCTAAAGGACCTAAGTGTATGCTAATTCTTGGACAGGGCCAGACCTGGTGGCTCGCACCTGTAATTCCAGCACTTGGGAGGCTGATGCAGGAGGATTGCTTAACACCAGGAGTTTGAGACCAGCCTGGGCAATATAGCAAGACCCCATCTCTACAAAAATACCTAAAAATTGGCCAGGTGTGATGGCACACGCCTGTAGTCCTAGCTACTTGGGAGGCTGAAGTAGGAGGCTCACCTGATCCTGGAGGGTTGAGGCTGCAGTGAGAGGTGATGGTGCCACTGCATTCTAGCTTGGGTGACATCAAGAACCTGTCTCCAAAAAAAAAAAAAACACAACTAATCCTTGGACAGGCTGTCATCCATAGATCCTGCAGAAGGCAAAGCTAAGATTAAATAAACTATTCTAGCTCATAAACAAGAAATTTTCAGAGAGTTTTCTTAATAGTTGAGCAAAATACCTTAAGACATAGTTGCCCATCATCAGAAATGGTCAGGCAAAAACTGAATGTCAAGGATAGTTTATTATCTTGCAGGAACATTACCTTCAGGATCAGTAAAATCATTTATTAAATGTGTGTGGTGCTGTATTAAGAAAATACAAAGAATATGTAGATACAAAGAATATAAAGATATAAATTAGATATAAAAGTATATCTTTTATATCTATAAAGTAAATATAAAAAATATAAAGAATATGTAGTAGAATGATGTGGAAAGAATTCCTATCTAGGAAGTTGTAATATATTAATTTCTAAACATTCCTCTGTATATTTGAAGTGGATTTCATTTTTCCACCTGATTTGTTTAGATTGGGTTTGTACATTTTTATAACATTTATTGTAATAGCTTCTTTTTTGGGTGGCGGTGGGGGAGTTACAAAAATAACCTGAAAACGCAAAAAGGAAAATAGAAATTATAACCCAGTCAGGTAGAATTAACAAGTTAACATTTTTAGTGTACATCTTGGAGTTTTTTCTGTGAATATTTTGGAAATACTCATTTTTGCCAGCCCATCATTTTTACTTTGCCTGCCTAGTAGGTCGGCCAGAGGCAGAAGTCATTACCAAAAGGTTAGTGTAGGTCTCTGAGGATGGAGTTTATGAACTCTGTGGGATTGAAGTGTACTTGTGAGGAGCAGCCTTTTCCCTGAATGAGCTATTGTTGTTGCCGTTCTTAGGTAAATGAAAGTGTCTGAAAATCTACATCTAGTGTTGTCAGATTTTTGCCTAGAATGTCTTGGCTTCTTTCATTACCTCTTCTTCTTATAGCATAAGCATAATTTTCAGACTCATATTTTCATATGCCATATTTTCTGAAAACATGTATTTAAACAAAGAGTACTACATTGAACATCATCTTTGTAGTAAATTGCTTTTCATTTAGCCATTTTTATACCACAAAAAGTATATTAAAGGAAACTGAAACATTACCCAAAGCAGGTTGCAGATCCTACAGCTGTCACCACTGAAGGGTCTGTTCACTTACGGTTATTGAATAGTCTTAATCCCGTTCAAGGAAATGGAGAGTAGCAGAGAAAGGAACTTAGCTGCTTATTGTGCTCTATTTCCTTTTCCATGTACACAGTTCTTGCCCACTTGTTTCAGACAATAACATTAAAATGTCCCCTTCTTTACAAATAAAGCATGTTTGAAGGTCGATTAAATGAGGCTTCCTTTTTAGAGGTCATTTCATTTGGTGTACAATTCATGCCTTTGTTGCTGAAGCTATAATTCCTGAAATTGGCACTTTTTCTTTGTGTGTGTGTGTTTTACTTGAAATTCAGTCAAAGCTGGAAGAGGCCCTCAACTTGGCAACAGAATTCCAGAATTCCCTACAAGAATTTATCAACTGGCTCACTCTAGCAGAGCAGAGTTTAAACATCGCTTCTCCACCAAGCCTGATTCTAAATACTGTCCTTTCCCAGATAGAAGAGCACAAGGTAACTATGATATTACGATGCTGCCTTCTTTTTGAAAGCACTAATTGAAAGAAATGCCCCTTTATCTTATCTTAAGCTTAAAAAGAGCACTGTTGTTCCTTCAGGTTTTTGCTAATGAAGTAAATGCTCATCGAGACCAGATCATTGAGCTGGATCAAACTGGGAATCAATTAAAGTTCCTTAGCCAAAAACAGGATGTTGTTCTGATCAAGAATTTGTTGGTTAGCGTGCAGTCTCGATGGGAGAAGGTTGTCCAGCGATCTATTGAAAGAGGGCGATCACTAGATGATGCCAGGAAGCGGGCAAAACAAGTAAGTTGGGGAGGAGAGATACTAATTCACTGAAGAATCTTGGGCTGCATGTATTGAGTCTCTGGGATGATTCTCAAATGTGCTGTATAGTGTGTATATTCATTCCTGTTAACTTACTTCTTATGTAATTTTAGTTCCATGAAGCTTGGAAAAAACTGATTGACTGGCTAGAAGATGCCGAGAGTCACCTGGACTCAGAACTAGAGATATCCAATGACCCAGACAAAATTAAACTTCAGCTTTCTAAGCATAAGGTAAAGCAGTTAATTGGTCTTAGGTCCCAAGAATACTATTCACTAAAGCTTGTAGCTTGCCAAAAATACAAATCAGAGCTAGTAAAAGGAAAACCAATCGGTTAATGTTTAAAAGTCAAAATGATGAAGCCAGGGTTCCATTTTATATCTAGATAATCTAATCATGATATTTGCTCATTTAAATAACAGTTTAAGCAAAGTAGATATGGGAGTAACTAATTAAAACTGTAGGCTTTCACAAATTGTCAGGCACTTCTGTGTATGGTATAAACAAAAAATTATGAATTTCTTAAGGATAAGCTATGGTTAATTTTAGTTCAAAAAAACTGGTGACATTCATACTTTATTTGGTTTCTAGCCTGAAAACTCAAATTATTTTGTTCCAAATCAAGATGTCATCTGACTTTTAACACTTTTTTGTTTTCTTTCTGGAAACATAGGAGTTTCAGAAAACTCTTGGTGGCAAGCAGCCTGTGTATGATACCACAATTAGAACTGGCAGAGCACTGAAAGAAAAGACTTTGCTTCCCGAAGATACTCAGAAACTTGACAATTTCCTAGGAGAAGTCAGAGACAAATGGGATACTGTTTGTGGCAAGTCTGTGGAGCGGTGAGCATGAATGTCCCCTTCAGGGGTCTAACCGGGATCCCAAAAGCAAGAGGCTCTTACCAGATTCTATAAAATGGTAATAGGCCGGGCGCGGTGGCTCAAGCCTGTAATCCCAGCACTTTGGGAGGCCGAGACGGGCGGATCACGAGGTTAGGAGATCGAGACCATCCTGGCTAACACAGTGAAACCCCGTCTTTACTAAAAAATACAAAAAACTAGCCGGGCGAGGTGGCGGGCGCCTGTAGTCCCAGCTACTCGGGAGGCTGAGGCAGGAGAATGGCGTAGACCCGGGAGGCGGAGCTTGCAGTGAGCTGAGATCCGGCCACTGCACTCCAGCCTGGGCGACAGAGCGAGACTCCGTCTCCAAAAAAAAAAAAAAAAAAAAATGGTGATAAAGCTAATGCATCAGTAAGACGTTTTGTACCATCTTAACACCACCAGTTAGTTCAAAGACTATTATAATTTAAATAAAATGTATAAAAATTCTCATTTTAAACTTGAACTTTACTGTATTAGAAAGAGAGAGACCTATAAAATCAAAGCAACAATAATAGAAGATCAGTAACTCAAAAGTATTTGTAAATTGTCAATTTGTAATACCAACAGCTGTCTTATTGACTGCTCTGGGACACTCCAAAGCCTCTACATGCATTACCTCATTTTACCATAATGATACCTGACCTTTGCTGGGCAATTACTACTGAATATATACCAAACAGTGGCTAATAATAATTTAATCCTCATAACCACTGAGGTGGGTACCACTTTTATTGCCATTTTACAGATGAGAAAATGACCATAAAGAGGTTCTTAACTCCCCTAAGGTCACTCAGCTACCATATTGGCAAAGCTGAGGTTTAAATCGTGGCAGTTTGGTTCTAAAAGTTGTACTTTTATCTATTCGTACCCACTATGCCATGCTAAATATTACAATATCGCTACCCTATTTGTACTTTTTTTTCTTTTTTTTTTTTTGAGAAGGAGTCTTGCTGTGTCTCCCAGGCTAGAGTGCAGTGGCGCGATCTCGGCTCACTGCAAGCTCCGCCTCCTGGGTTCACACCATTCTCCTGCCTCAGCCTCCTGAGTAGCTGGGACTACAGGTACCTGCCACCACGCTTGGCTAATTTTTTGTATTTTTAGTAGAGATGAGGTTTCACTATGTTAGCCAGGATGGTCTCGATCACCTGACCTCATGATCCACCCACCTCAGCCTCCCAAAGTGCTGGGATTACAGGCATGAGCCACCGTGCCCAGCATTTTTCTTTTTTTTTTGGTCTTGTTGAGACAGGGTCTAGCTCTCTCACCCAGGCTGGAGTGCAGAGCTTACTGCAGCCTTCAACTCGTGGGCTCAAGTGATCCTCCCACCTCAGCCTCTCGAGTAGCTCAGACTACAGGCATGTGCCACCACACCTGGCTAATGTTTTTTGTTTTTGTTTTTGAGACGGAATCTTCCTCTGTCGCCCAGGCTGGAGTGCAGTGGCACAATCTCGGCTCGGCTCACTGCAACCTCCGTCTCCCGGGTTCAAGCAATTCTCCTTCCTCAGCCTCCTGAGTAGCTGGGACTATAGGTGCATGCCACCACGCCCAGCTAATTTTTAAAAATATTTTTAGTAGAGATGGGGTTTCACCATATTGACCAGGCTGGTCTGGAACTCCTGACCTCTTGATCCACCCGCCTCGGCGTCCCAAAGTGCTGGGATTACAGGCGTCAGCCACCACACCCAGCCATTGGTTTTTATTTGAGTAGAGACAAGGTCTTGCTATTGTCCAGGCTGTTCTCTAACTCCTGACCTCAAGTGATCCACCTTGGCCTGCCAGAGTGCTGGGATTACAAGTGTGAGCCAACACACTTGGCCTGTACTCCAATTTTTTTTGATGAGGTGGCTGAGGTTCAGGGAGATGAAGAAACAGCCTAAGGTCACACAACTGATACAGAGCTAGGAGTTGAACTCCTGATTCCTGATCATTACCAAAACCATCATCTTTTACTTGGAATGGTATAAGGAGATTAACACAGACCTTGGGTTGTTAGAGTGTGCCTGTGTGTCACTGGGCTATAAGATGCCTGAAGGGTATCTCTCTCTGTCCCCTGTGCTACCCTTAATCCATTCTAGAGGTTGGTTTGATTTAAAATGTCTCACCATCTCTCAGTTACTTTTTACTCTATTTCTAACTGTTCTAATGTAGAAGTCACTCTCTATATAGGGTTCAAACAATATTCCCTTTCAGCGAGGCAGAATTGTGGGCCATTTGTAAAAGGAATCCCTAAAAATGGTAGCATTTGTGTGCATTTCTCAGGCAGCACAAGTTGGAGGAAGCCCTGCTCTTTTCGGGTCAGTTCATGGATGCTTTGCAGGCCTTGGTTGACTGGTTATACAAGGTGGAGCCACAGCTGGCTGAGGACCAACCCGTGCACGGGGACCTCGACCTCGTCATGAACCTCATGGATGCACACAAGGTAAGGGCGAGGTCTGGGCTATGTTGGAGTGCAGTGCCCTAGGATCTTCTACATGTGATTGCCTTGCCCTTCTTTCTAGGGGAGAAAGAGAGCCTGACAGTTGCTTTGTGTGTTCAAACAAACTGTTGCTGAGATTCTGCATTAGTCACAGAATTTACCAAAATTGGTTTGATTCAGATTTGGCAATGTGTAAACTTCACTTCAAGGTTGCCCCTCTTCCTGTTTGTTTCAGTTGAGTCACAAAATGGATTTAAATTCCAACGGAAACCCGTAAGATATCCATTTCCACTGACTCCTAAAATGGAAATGAGTGATTTTTTTTAAACCACTTCTGAACCTAACAGTCTTAACACCATGCACGCCAATATTTAACATCATCTCTACCTGTCATGTTGGATTATGTAATATCCTCCTGTTTCAGCACAAGCATTTAACTTTACCTTGAAATTACAACAGATTCTTGTTATGTGCAGAGCAGTTATGTTTTTATTTCCCATAATTCTGGAAACATTAGTATAATGATTACCATTTTACAGATGAAGAAACTGGGCCTTAAGCAACTTTTCAAAATTATGTGTCTCCCAAATGCCTGAGCTAGCATTTAGAGCCACTTTTTCTGGTTGTTTTTTTTTTTTTTCTTTTTTTTTTTCCATGAGATTTGGTCTCGCCATGTTGCCCAGACTGGTCTTGAACTCCTGGGCTCAAGCAATCCTCTCATCTTGGCATACCAAAATGCTGGGATTGCAGGCATGAGCCACTGCGCCCGGCCTGGTTGTTTTTTCTTATACATTGCTCTGCCTCCCTCTATGCATAAAAGACACATGATTAGAACCTACCAAGAAAATTATTATTTCCCAGTGGTTTCTTGGACTCAAAACATTCCTCAAACAAACTAATTCTCCTATTTTCTTTTCTAGGTTTTCCAGAAGGAACTGGGAAAGCGAACAGGAACCGTTCAGGTCCTGAAGCGGTCAGGCCGTGAGCTGATTGAGAATAGTCGAGATGACACCACTTGGGTAAAAGGGCAGCTCCAGGAACTGAGCACTCGCTGGGACACTGTCTGTAAACTCTCTGTTTCCAAACAAAGCCGGCTTGAGCAGGCCTTGAAACAGGTAAGAGACATTTGCTGTCCCAACCCAAGGGATAGATCTGAGTGGGTTTATTTTGTTTTTCTTTTACTAGAATCTGTTCCAGTCAGTCTTGAATTAAGTGTAACAGAGTTGAAAATTGATATTCTGAATGTTCTATAAAACTTTAACATTCATTTTGAGAAATAATGAATTCAGCTGATTTTCAAAGATCTACAAATGAAAGATAACCTTTGTGGAGTTTTGATGAGGCCATGAAATGTCTGAATGAACACTGGACCCTTTCCCTGGCATGTCCCAGTGTCTAGGTCCTTGGCTGCAGAGAGAGGTTGAATCTTTTGTGCTTGGTTATTTCAGGCGGAAGTGTTTCGGGACACAGTTCACATGCTGTTGGAGTGGCTTTCTGAAGCAGAGCAAACGCTTCGCTTTCGGGGAGCACTTCCTGATGACACAGAGGCCCTGCAGTCCCTCATTGACACCCATAAGGTAATTCAGCCTTGCGGTTTGGTGACCTCATGCTACCTACCACCTTAAGGGCTGCCTACCACTAAATGAAAGCAACTTTTTCTTGGAATTATCAGAACTCACATGAGAAGGAACAAAACCAGTGGCCCTAGCTCATAGCAGGAATGAAAGGGAAATAGCTGTTGGGTTTTTTGACATCTTAAACATTAACATTCATTCTTAGAAAAGTAATATATGTTGGTTGTAACAAGTTTTTAAAACATGGTATTATATAAAGAAAAACGTGGACTATTTCATCTTCTTTCCTCCTCACCTGCATATTCCTTTGTTTGCCTTTCCTTATGTTACCAGCTTTAGGCCCTGATATGATCCCCCAGAACCACTTACCAAGCTGTAGAGTATGGTGCAGTGTCTGGGGTCTCAGTCTATCCTAAAGAGGTGGGAAATGTTGTTTCCCTTTTTAAATTTTTATTTTATCCACTCAGAGATTTTAATCATGGTTTTATCATTACATTCTGTTATGGGTATTTTTAAAATATTATGATTTTTATAACTATAATTATATTTTTCCAATACAAATATGTTTACCAACATGAAATGAATAAATGAAAAATGGGATTAAAAAAGAAAGAAACTAACTCGAATAGGAAAAAGGGGGCATACCTCTGTGTGTCCTATTCTTGTTGTCATCTCCACCACAGAAAGTCATTCTTGTGTAAACCCCTCACCTTCCCACATCTTTTAGAATTAAAATGCCATAAATAACTAAGTACAGGCTTTTAGAGGTCTGTGTCAACACGTGGAGGAAAAAGAAAACATTGAAATTTATCCCCCCTCAATGTAAACTAACAGTGCTGCTAATGTAGACTTTTTAAGTATTTGTTTTAAAATCTTTTTTGTTAAGGAATTCATGAAGAAAGTAGAAGAAAAGCGAGTGGACGTTAACTCAGCAGTAGCCATGGGAGAAGTCATCCTGGCTGTCTGCCACCCCGATTGCATCACAACCATCAAACACTGGATCACCATCATCCGAGCTCGCTTTGAGGAGGTGAGTCCCTGGTTCAGAGGAGGACCACACACGCCCAGTAAACTATTACTATAGTATAGTATTTTTCTCCTAGGTAAGGAATCTTTCACTCACTGTGAATATCTCAGCAAAAATTAAGTTAACATTTTAGTAAAGACTGTTTTCTTGGTAATGTGTGGCAACGAGGAGTAGTAGTGTTGGCATAGTGCTATGTTAATAGTGACTTTCAGTGGACATGTTGTGTATAGTGTCCCCTCTTTCCTGGGAAGTCCTGTGTTAATAGGATGTAGAGCTGACCCTGGAACAATGTGTGTTTCAACTGCACAGGTCCACTTATATGCGGTTATTGTTCGGTAAATGCAGTCAGCCCTCCATATTGGTTGGGGTCCACATTCACAGCCAAACGTGGATAGAAAATACAGTATTCACGGGAAGCGAAGCCCATGTGTACAGAGGGCAGACTTTTGCAGGTTCCACAAAACCAATTACAGACCTTGAGTATGCATGGATTTTAGTATCCGCAGGTGGTACTGGGACCAGTTCCCTGTGGATACCAAGGAACAACTATACTAGATTTGCTTTCAAGAGAGCTGATATTTTATTCCAGCTCTTATCCCAGTTGTCACTGGGGTAATAGTGAAGTCTCTTGACTGTTTGGGTGCTCTCTCCTCTAAAAAGTCATTGGGTTCGCCGGGAGCAGTGGATCACACCTGTAATCCTAGAGCTTTGGGAGGCTGAGTCAGGCGGATTACCCGAGCTCAGGAGTTCAAGACAAGCCTGGGCAACATGGTGAAACCCGTCTCTACAAAAATACAAAAAATTAGCCGGGCATGGTGGCGCAAGTCTGTAATCCCAGTTACTTGGGAGGCTGAAGCAGGAGAATCACTTGAACCCAGGAGGCAGAGGTTGCAGTGAGCCGAGTTTGTGCCACTGCACTCCAGTCTGGGTGACAGAGCAAGAGTCTGTCTCCAAAAAAATAAACAAAAATAAAAAGTCATTGTCAAAATCAGATGAAAAAGGGCTTTGGAAACAAAGAGGTATGCTTGACTGAAAGAGACCATGGTTTCCTTCTTTTTCCACAGGTCCTGACATGGGCTAAGCAGCACCAGCAGCGTCTTGAAACGGCCTTGTCAGAACTGGTGGCTAATGCTGAGCTCCTGGAAGAACTTCTGGCATGGATCCAGTGGGCTGAGACCACCCTCATTCAGCGGGATCAGGAGCCAATCCCACAGAACATTGACCGAGTTAAAGCCCTTATCGCTGAGCATCAGGTGTCTTAACCTCACTGTGTGATCACTGGTGTTTTCCATGTTGGGCATGGATACCATCTCTGTTGCCCTGTATATTTGTTTTTAAATTGCTGCTTAACACATTACCACAGACTTAGCATCTTAAAACAACACATACTTACTTACCTCATAGTTTCTGTGCTTCAGTCACCTGGGCATGAGTTGACTAGGTCCTCTTCCTGTAGTCTCCCCAGGCAGAAATCAGGGTGTCAGCCAGTACTATAGTCTGATCTGGAGTTCAGGGTCCTCTTTTAGGCTCACTCAGGTTGTTGGCAGAATCTAGGTCCTGGTGGATGTAGGACTGAGGTCTCTAACTTTCTTGCTGGCTCTCAGCTAGGAGTTGCTCTTACCTCCTAGAGGCCCCCTCAGGTCTTAACCACACAGCCAGCTGGAGAAACTGTCCAAGGTCCTATATGGAGTCTTGAAATGTAATGGAGAATGAAATGTAATTACGAGAGTGACTGTTCTATCATTTGCCCACACTCAAGGGAGGGGGATTACATTGAGTGTGCATACAGGAGTGGGAATCTTGGGGGCCTTCTTAGAAGTCTGCCTGCCACAGCCTGTTTTTATTGACCATCATCTGAGCCAAGGGCCCACTGGTCCCCATTATACCTAGTTCAGAAAGCTCTCTCACATGAACCCAGTGATCAGTGAAGGTGCACATCAGACTAAACTGAATGGAGGAAAGCTCAGGTGAGCCATCTTCATAATATATCCTTAAGAGGCAAATACTGTTTTTAACCATAATCATTTATACTGAATTCAAGTGTGAATCTTGATTAGTTATACTGTAGACTGTATGGTCATTTTAGTTTATATAAACAATTACCCCTGCAAGTGAGAACTCACTATACAGATGGTCCCTGACTTGCAGTCTTTCAACTTTATGATGGTTCAAAGGTTATACGTATTCAGTAGAAACCATACAATTCGAGGCCAGGTGCAGTGGCACACACCTGTAATCCCAGCACTTTCGGAGGCTGAGGGGGGCAGACCACTTGAGGTCAGGAGTTTGAGACCAGCCTAGCCAACATGGTGAAACTCTATCTCTACTAAAAATATAAAAATTAGTTGGGTGTGGTTGTGGTTGTGATTGCCTGTAATCCCAGCTACTCAAGCGGCTGAGGCAGGAGAATCACTTGAACCAGGGACGTAGAGGTTGCAGTGAGCTGAGATTGCACCACTGCACTCCAGCCTGGGTGACAGAGCAAGACTCCGTCTCAAATACAAAACAAAATAAAAAATACACTTTGAGTACCCATACAACCATTCTTTCACTTTGATTACATGAGATAGTCAACACTTTATTATAAAATAGGGTCTGTGTTAGATGATTTTGCCTAACTGTAGACTAACGTGTTTTGAGCATGTTTAAGGTTGGCCAGGCTAAGCTACGATGTTCCCTATTTTAGGTGTGTTATATTTTCAGCTTAACGATGGGTTTGCCAGAATGTAACTTCGTCATAAATCGAGGAGCACCTATCCTTCCTGTGGGATGTACCTCCTCTCTGAGAGATTATCTTCTTCCTATCCAGTTCCTCTCTTTTCTGTTTTCCCCTCTCTCCTCTATGTCTTCAGTCTCTCCCTGTTTATTCTTTTCTCTAAAGCTTCCAGACATGTCCTTCCAACCCAATGTTCCCCTCAAGTTACCACTGTGTTGCCTCCCCCCTTTTTCAGCTACGCTTCTTGTTCCCTGTCTCATCTCCATTTTTCCCATCACTCCCCAGATCCCTGTGGTCTGGCTGACACTGTTCTGGTCACATTCTACTGGCTAAATCCAACAGAGGTTTTTCAGTCTTTATTTTGTTTGACATGTGACATAGCTGGCTCTTCATCCCTTCCCAAAACTTTCCTTTTGACTTCTGTGTCCTTTAATCTTTGTGTTTTCCTCTGATCTCTCAGACTGTTCCTTTTTAGTCTTTTTAGCTGGTTCCTCTTCCCTGCCTATGCATTAATGTTGTTCCCTGATGTCTCATTTGTGATGCTCTCACACTGCTGAGATTTATCTGGTCTAACAGCTTTAGCTATTACCTATAAAGCTTCTGCATCTTTTTCTTTTTTTTTTTTTCTTTTTATTTTTGGTGGGTACATAGTAGGTCTATATAGGGTATATGGGATATTTTGATACAAGCGCAAAATGTGTAATAGTCACATCAGAGTAAATGGGGTATCTATCATCTCAACCATTTATCCTTTATGCTACAAACCAATTACACTCTTTTAGTTATTTTAAAATGTACAATTAAATTATTGTTGACTATAGTCATTCTATTGTGCTATCAAATACTAGATCTTATTCATTCTTTCTATTTTTTTGTACCCATTAACCATCCCCATGTCTCCCACCAAACTCACACTACCCTTCCCAGCCTGTGGTAGCCATCATTCTACTATCTATCTCCATCAGTTCAATTGTTTTAATTTTTTTTTTATTATGATAAGTTCTAGGGTACATGTGCACAATGTGCAGGTTTGTTACATATGTATACATGTGCCATGTTGGTGAGCTGCACCCATCAACTCATCATTTACACCAGGTATATCTCCTAATGCTATCCCTCCCCCCACCCCCTCCCCACAATAGGACCCAGTGTGTGATGCTCCCCTTCCTGTGTCCAAGTGATCTCATTGTTCAGTTCCCACCTGTGAGTGAGAACATGCAGTGTTTGTTTTTCTGTTCTTGCGATAGTTTGCTGAGAATGATGGTTTCCAGCTGCATCCATGTCCCTACAAAGGACATGAACTCATCCTTTTTTATGGCTGCATAGTATTCCATGGTGTATATGTGCCACATTTTCTTAATCCAGTCTGTCACTGATGGACATTTGGGTTGATTCCAAGTCTTTGCTATTGTGAATAGTGCCGCAATAAACATATGTGTGCATGTGTCTTTATAGTAGCATGACTTATAATCCTTTGGGTATATCCCCAGTAATGGGATGGCTGGGTCAAATGGTATTTCTAGTTCTAGATCCTTGAGGAATCGCCACACTGTTTTCCACAGTGGTTGAACTAGTTTACAGTCCCACCAACAGTGTAAAAGTGTTCCTGTTTTTCCACATCCTCTCCAGCACCTGTTGTTTCCTGATTTTTTAATGATCGCCATTCTAACTGGTGTGAGATGGTATCTCATTGTGGTTTTGATTTGCATTTCTCTGATGGCCAGTGATGATGAGCGTTTTTTCATGTGTCTGTTGGCTGTCTTTGCATCTTTTTCATCTCCAGCACCATCATCTCCTAAAGTCCAGACATACAGTAAACTAGAAGCCATTCTAAAATTCCACTTCATCTTTGCCTCCTTGCCTGACAGTATTTGTCCATTCCAAATCTGCCTCCCCTTTCCTCATTCAGAAGGCTGTGATGTCTGGAGTTCCTTCTTTTCCTCTTCCCCCTACATCTAGCCACTCACCAGGGCTTGTCAGTCCCACTTTCAAAATATCTCTTGGCTCCATCTTTCCAGCCCTGGCTCCAACCCTCACCGTGTTTTGCCTCAGTTACTGCAATGGTTTCTTAACCTGTCTTCTCACTGCTAGGCACTCCCTATCCCACACTTCCCCCCACCCCCATATCACTCCACCTTTTACACTGAAGCCAGAGTGATAGCTGTAAAGCATCATATCTCTTACCTGGATCGAAATCTTTCAGCTGCCCCCCATTGCTCTCAGAATAAATGGCCAACCCTTAGCCTGACACAGAAGCCTTTTGTGATCTGTCTCCTGCCTGCCTCTTCAACCCTGCCTCTTGCCATTCCTCTGATTGCATCCCCTGCCCAGCCAGTGAGTGGAGGGGTCCTGGCCACAGCACTGTCAGGCATCCCTGTCTCTGTTTAGGTTGCACCCTCTTCCAGGACTGCCTTCCTACCATTTGTTGACTATTTCTTCATTGCTCAGTGTGTCAGTCCATTTGCATTGCTCTAAAGGAATTCCTGAGACTGGGTAATTTATAAAGAAAACAGGTTTATTTTGGCTTACGGTTCTGCAGGCTGTACAGGAAGCATGGTGCCAATATCTGCTTCTGGTGAAGGCCTCAGGAAGCTTAGAATCATGGTGGAAGGCAAAGGGGAGCCAGCATGTTACATGGCAAGAGAGGGAAAGAGAGAAAGAGGAGGAGATAGCAGGCTCCTTTTAAACAGCCAGCTCTCATGTGAACTAACAGCAAGAACTCACTCATTACCATGGGGAGGGCACCAAGGCCATTCATGAGGAATTTGCCCCCATAACTCAATCACGTCCCATTAGACCCCACCTCCAACATTGGAAATCACATTTCAACACGAGATTTGGAGGGGACAAGTATCCAAACTACATAACATACCTCAGTAACTCAACTCAGGCACTGGCCTCCAGGCAGACTTTCCTACCACCACAAGCCATAAAGTACCCATCCTAGCTCTTCTTTTGCCCCCATAGGAGTAAAAATACAATTTTTAACTCTTTTTCATATTTTTTGTGTTTAACAGACGTTTATGGAGGAGATGACTCGCAAACAGCCTGACGTGGACCGGGTCACCAAGACATACAAAAGGAAAAATATAGAGCCTACTCATGCGCCTTTCATAGAGAAATCCCGCAGCGGAGGCAGTATGTTTCCAGCCCCCTCTGTTAGGATGCTTCATTCCTGCTAATTGAAGATGAGCACTTTCCAAATGCCTGTCAAAAAAAAATTGTATTCCATTTTCAAAAACCGTATTGGTTTTGAACCAAAATCTTTTGTTTTTGAAACTCACTTTTCTTACATTGACAGACAGTAGCTATACTCCATATTCTTGGATTGGTATGAAATTATGAGGTGGTTAAGCTTATTCTTTAACAGTGGCCTTTCCATTGTTTTGGTTATCAGCGCTAGCTGTTTACATTTGACTTGCACTAATTCAATCAGCAAAACAGCTCCTACAGAATATGTTGCTTTCTTAGTTGAGTTAATGTGTCATCAGCTCACTAAGGTGGGACAGAATTGCTTGGAGATATGTAGGCGGCAGGTAAGTTTGTGCTGGGAGGATCAATACTTTTGGAATTAGTATACCTCCGTATCTAAATATTGCCAAGTCCCGTATTTCTTTTCTCAGTTACTGACTGGATATTATTCTAAAGATCTCCTAAGTTTATACATACAGCTATTTCTCCCTGTGTGCTAACCAGCTGTTCTAATCTTGTGTTTATTTTTCCTTTTAGGGAAATCCTTAAGTCAGCCGACCCCTCCTCCCATGCCAATCCTTTCACAATCTGAAGCAAAAAACCCACGGATCAACCAGCTTTCTGCCCGCTGGCAGCAGGTGTGGCTCTTAGCACTGGAGCGGCAAAGGAAGCTGAACGACGCCTTGGATCGGCTGGAGGAGGTAATGCCCTGCTGAGTGGCCTTCCCTGAAACAAAGTGATTTTTTCAATCAAAACACAGCCCTTCTGAGGCTCTCTAAATGTGAACCGTGTGTCCTAACTGACTTCTTCACAAATAGAAACAGACCTATACCAAGCCAGTACCCATTCTTTGAGGCCCCTGAATGAGAAAAGACACATTTATAAGAAAACCATTCATGACAAAGTAGGCCAAAGCTTCTAGGTGTGGAAAGCAAGAAAACAGCCAGTCCATAGTGAGGGCCAGGACGTGATCTGCCTCAGCATCTTGCTGTGGTTGGGAATCAGGAACAGAACTTTGGAAATTTGTCTCCAGATATGTAGCAGAGCACAAAAATGACCCTTGTTGAGCCTTTCATGTAAAAACAGATGCTACACAATTATGAAATAGGAGTAATTTTTAATGATTTTGTTATTTTATTAGTCTTCACTTGATCATGAAAAGCAACTCTATTTTGAAGTGTCATTACCCAGTAAAAAAATATATATATATAGTACTGTACTTCCTAGTTTCTAAAACAAGCCTCTAATATATTTTGTATTTTTTTATTTGTGCATATCAAAGCAGCTATGCCTGGAAGTGAGTGTTCTGTGTTTTATTTATTTTTTCCTTAGGTCAGTTGACTTTTAAGCTTATTGGGTTCTTGGTGCTTTTTTCCCCCCATTCCTTCTAACTTTGGAGTTTGAAAGACCAAGGGGAAACTGCTGCACTGTTTAAGTCATTTTGAGTGTATATCATTAACATAGACTTAAGTAGCTGAAAATTGTCTTGCCCACTGCATAGGCCTGCTGTTTTCCATCAAGGCCAAATATTTAACATGGAGGTCAGATGGGAAATTTGCTCTCTGGTGCCATTCCAAAGAAACATGCTTGGATACAACACTGGGTTCCCAATGCTTCCATCCAGAACTCGGATTTTTCTCATTGAAATCTCAGAAGATAGTGGTAAACACGAGCCTCCTGATGTGAGCCCTATGTGTGATTATAATGCCTTTCAAAACAACATAACTGAGGAGTGCTAAGGATCTCCCTTCTGGGTTAGAATCCATTCCCTTGCATCTAAGAGAGTGATCCTTTGAAAAGCCCAAAGGGAAAGCAAGGCTGGCTTCACCCATTCTCATTCTATGTGCTCCATATTTTCCATGGTGGTTCAGTTATTGTTTCTCTTGCTATTCCATTATACCACAGCTCATGTAAATAGTCATGGCTTTAAGTGAAGGAGCCGGATTGTGCCTTCACAAAAGAAGCAAACACATAGATTTCATTGTTGGTGCCCCCTGGAAGCATGGCTTTACTGAATGTCTGAAAGTTTGGTATGCTCTGGGCAACTTTTGAGGGCCCAAAAAATAAATCTTATTGACACTTCTGATTTCTGTGTAGTTGAAGGAATTTGCCAACTTTGACTTTGATGTCTGGAGGAAAAAGTATATGCGTTGGATGAATCACAAAAAGTCTCGAGTGATGGATTTCTTCCGGCGCATTGATAAGGACCAGGATGGGAAGATAACACGTCAGGAGTTTATCGATGGCATTTTAGCATCCAGTGAGTCTAGTCATCATCCCAAACATGGGTCACGCCTGGATTCCTTGCGCTTTGTAGAAGCTGTGATATTCTAGCTAAACAATCTTTCTGAAGCTGGCCAGGAGCTATGGCTCACACCTGTAATTTCAGCACTTTGGGAGGCAGGTGGCACAGGCATGGTGGCACACCTGTGGTCCTAGCTACTTGGGAGGCTGAGGTGAATCACCTGAGCCTGGGGAGGTCAAGGCTGCAGTAAACTGTAATCGTGCCATTGAAGTCCAGCCTGGGCAACAGAGTGAGACTCTGTCTCCAAAAAAAAAAAAAAAGAAAAAGACAGTGGTTAACCAGAGGTTTTCAGCTGGGAAACAATATGATTCACACTTCCCTTTGTGTAGCAGTTTGTCAAGAATCTAAGACAGTAATCTAAACATAGGAAAACTTCATACTATTAATTCCAAACTGTCACTATTCTGAAATAATCTAAATATTCAATAATTGTGGGGTGGGTAAGTATATTCTTGAGTGATAGGTGTGTGGGTGGTTGTAATATTATGTTTATGCTTTTTGGTATATCTGAAATGTGGAATATTACCTTCTTTTCATTGCATTTGGGGTAGGGGGGCCTATAAGTGGATATGTATTACTTTTCAGGAAAAATCAAGACATAAATTTTTTTGCTCTTAAGTATTTATGGCCAGGAGTGGTGGCTCACACCTGTAATCCCAGCACTTTGGGAGGCCAAGACGGGTGGATCACTTGAGGCTGGGAGTTCAAGACCAGCCTGGCCAACATGGCAAAACCTCGTCTCTGCTAAAAACACACAAAAAATTAGCCGGGCCTGGTGGCAGGCACCTGTATTCCCAGCTCCTTGGGAAGCTGAGGCAGGAGAATCGCTTGAATCTGGGAGACGGAAGTTGCAGTGAGCTGAGATTGCACCACTGCACTCTGCCTGGGTGACAGAGCGAGACCTTGTCTCAAAAAAAAAAAAAAAAAGGTATTTCTCTAACTGCTAACCAAACAAGTAAGCCCTCTTTTAAGTTTCAAAATATGATTCCTTTCCTCCAGAGTTCCCCACCACCAAGTTAGAAATGACTGCTGTGGCTGACATTTTTGACCGAGATGGGGATGGTTACATTGATTATTATGAATTTGTAGCTGCTCTTCATCCCAACAAGGATGCGTATCGACCAACAACCGATGCAGATAAAATTGAAGATGAGGTAAGGGAAATAATTATATTTTGAGTATACCTCTGGCTATAGGTTTATAATATCCTGAATTTGGTTGGGTTCAATGATCATATTAGCCTTTGACTTGTCTGTTGGGAGATAATTATTTGGAGTTCTATTTTGAGATCTCTTTTTAGATAGCATTTCAAAGAGTCCCAGAGGATCTCTGACATCTGAGCCCTAGCTCAGGCTAGATAGATTACTCAAGTGAGTCATGTCTGTGTGGTGCTCTGAAGTTTACAGAGAACCTTTGCAGGGTACCATACTCATCCTGGTTAACTTGTCCTGTGTTTTGGGATAGACTCATCTTACTCCTGAGCATGCTACCTGGAATCTAGGGAAATGGTCTACCAGTGTAGCATTTAAGGGTTATTTAAGGGTTGAAATGAACTGAGCATGGTGGCTTACATCTGTAGCCCCAGCACATTGGGAGGTCAACATGGGAGGATCACTGGAGCCCAGGAGTTCGAGACCAGCTTGGGCAACATAGTATGATTCTGTCTGTCCCCCGCAAAAAAAAAAAATTAGCCAGGTGTAGTGGCAAGTGCTTATAGCCCCAACTACTCAGGAGACAGATGGAAGAATGACTTGAGCATGGGAGGTCAAAGATGCAGTGAGCTGTGATCATGCCACTATACTCCAGCCTGGGCAACAGAGCAAGACTTGTCTCAAAAAAATAAATGTTTAAAAGGGGGGTAAAATGTAATGTTTAAAAATGGTGTATACCCATCATGCTTTCTGCCTTGTTAAAAACTACCACACTGGGCCAGGCGCAGTGGCTCACACCTGTAATCCCAGCACTTTGGGAGGCCGAGGAGGGCGGATCACAAGGTCAGCAGATTGAGACCATCCTGACGAACATGGTGAAACCCTGCCTCTACTAAAAAATACAAAAAAAATAGCCGGGCGTGGTGGCGGGTGCCTGTAGTCCCAGCTTCTAGGGAGGCTGAGGCAGGAGAATGGCATTAACTCGGGAGGCGGCAGAGCTTGCAGTGAGCAGAGATCGTGCCACTGCACTCCAGCCTGGGCGACAGAGCGAGACTCTGTCTCAAAAAAAAAAAAAAAACTACCACACTGAAACTACCAAATTGATTAGTGCCATCTGGAAATCCTAGCATCTGTTGATAACAGATCTTGGGAAGGGAGAGGTGCTGGAATAGGTCTTAGGAGTGGCCCTGGAACACACCAGGACTTCCAGGGAATCTCCGTCTCCTAGGGTGAAATTTAAAGCAGTTCATAATTTGCTTTATTAATAATTTGATTTTGATGTCAGCATATTAGCAATTTTCTCTGAAGGAATTTTGAAGCAGGAATAAAGAATGTGTTATATAGTCACTTGGGAATTTCTTTCATGCCTTTTCTTTCTCAGTGTCTCAATTAGTTCACTTAGTAAGAACATATACTAATTTGGAACAGATGATAAATGCATATGTCAGAAACCTGAAATACCTAAAAAGTAAATAGTGAGCTGGGCGCGGTGGCTTATGCCTGTAATCCCAGCACTTTGGGAGGCTGAGGCAGGCAGATCACCTGAGGTTCAAGGCCAGCCTGACCAACATGGAGAAACCATCTCTCTACTAAAAAAATACAAAAAATTAGCTGGGCGTACCTATAATCCCAGCCACTCGGGAGGCTGAGGTAGGAGAATTGTTTGAACCCAGGAGGCGGAGGTTGCAGTGGAGCTGAGATCGCGCCATTGCCCTCCAGCCTGGGCAACAAGAGCGAAACTCCATCTCAAAAAGAAAAAAAAAAAGTAAATATTGAATAGCCTCCCTGCTTATATGTAAAAATCTTTGTTTCTCTAAATAGGAAGTCTTACTGTACCCTTTACACTTTTCTTTTTGTTCACAACCAATAGGTTACAAGACAAGTGGCTCAGTGCAAATGTGCAAAAAGGTTTCAGGTGGAGCAGATCGGAGAGAATAAATACCGGGTAAGGAAGAGAAAAACCAATACTTTGTGGTGGTGGTTTCTCATATGTGGCTGATCCCACCTTTTCCTCCTGTTGCTTAGAGTCCCAGAGCCCATCAGACTTGAGATGTGGTCACTCTCTGACCTCATCTCTACAGATGCCAAGTGTCAGGTACCCTGTTCCATCTGAAAACTAGTCCATATCTACTTAGATAGTAGTTTGTATTTGAGTTTTAAGATAGGAGATATTTCAGATCTGTCACTTCACATCTGACAAAGTCTTTAGGGGGATGAAGGTACCTTTGGAAACAATTATATCTAATGACTGACCACTTACCCCCAAAGAGATGGTCATTGTGAGCCTGAGTGGCTCCCAGGCTAGAGAGGCCTGGGGAAACTGTGTTGAAGCCCCAACAGATACTGTGCCTGCTCTGGGCTGGGCTACAAATGGGGCCCAGGAGCCCTGAGGAGACATCAGGCTCAGTGGTCTTCTCTGGAAAGCCATGCTAGGTGTGGCGATAACTGACAGTGAACTATACTTGTGTTTTAGCTTCTTTTGGGACCAGGGTCAGGGACATAGAAGAATCTGAAACAGGTCTCCTAAAATATATCAACAGCTCATCAGGATTCTCTAAAGTCCTAAGAAAAATCTCTGATTGGCAAAGAGGATTTAGATTGCACTAAGAAACACAGGAAGATCCATGTTTCATTAGTATATCCAAAATGTCCTCAAAGTACATCACATCCACCCCATGCTACAGTTTCCTGAGGAGCACTGGGTGAATCTGCCTTAAATATAACCTAGGGCATTTAGTTAATAAAGCTCCAGGTGATCTTATGCCTGCTTGTTGGGTTTTGTTTTCTTGTTTTTTGTTTTTAATTATTAGAGAAATGAATTAACAAGAACAACATAGAGTGGAGAGTTAGTTCATAGTTTATAAAACCACATCCCTGGCCAGGCATGGTGGCTCACACCTGTAATCCCAGAACTTTGGGAGGTAGGGGCGAGTGAGCAGATCACTTGAGGTCAGGAATTCAAGACCAGCCTGGCCAACATGGTGAAACACCGTCTCCACTAATAACACAAAAATTAGCTCGGCTTGGTAGTGCACGCCTGTAATCCCAACTACTAGGGAGGCTGAGGCAGGAGAATTGCTTGAACACCGGGGTTGGAGGTTGCAGTGAGCCGCGATCACGCCACTGCACTCCAGCCTGGGCAACAGAGCGAGACTCTCAAAAAAAAAAAATTAAAATTAAAACCACATCCCTATGGCAGGAGCTTGATAAGAATATGTTCGGTGTGTGTCACTTTGCCAGAAGAACGTAATGATATGATTTTCATTCCTTAGTGTTAATTTGACAAAATGTTCTCTTTTTTTTTCCCCTCCTTTTCCTCCATCCTTTACTCTTACTGTCTATAGTTCTTCCTCGGCAATCAGGTACAGTGTGCCTTGCAATGTTCTCCTTCTCAATGGATATGGTCTGTGTAGCTAATGCTGCCTGTTCTTCGCTATGGGGAGAGGATGTACTCTGAAGCATGCCTGGGTCACACCTGGTTGTCTTACCAAGTGGAGAAACTGCTGATGAGGCCAGCATTGCAAAGCTATCTTAGCAGCAAAAGAATATAAGTATAATTTTTTTATAAAGGAGATGAAGTGGAGGAAACTGAAGCTATGGTATCAATCCATTCCACTTCTAAAAAGAGAATGGTTTTGTACTTCTGTGTTAGAAGTCAGATTACCAAACAGCACAGTTCTTATTTATGTTAGAATCTTTTGACAGTTAATAAATTTTGTAATGTATGGTAAGTCAATTCCCGAAGAACTTCAGTACTGTTTAAATATATTTTTAATATTTCTAGTTACTTATATTGCATTTTATAATTACAAGGTACCTGAGAAGTGTAGTGTGGAGATCATAATTGGCCGTGGCCTGAAGTATGCTGATGATGGCCAGCCATCCAAGATTTAATGGGACCAAATTAGACTTGCAAAAAAGATTGGATGCTTTGACTCCACTTGGTAACTCTAACCTTTCAGATCTTTTTGAGTGCTGTGGGGTCCTGTGTCCTCCAATGTGGAAGGAAGTTGCATGAGTAAAATCTGTCTCTCTGATATGAAATTATAAACCCTAAGAGTTGATTTGAGGCCCTCAAACATCCCAGGCCTTGCAAGTCACTATAGAAATGTTCTAGGCAAGTGAGAAGAATAGGGGATAAGAGAAAAAAACTAAAGATGAGAACAAACTGACTTTAAAAAAAAAAATCATTGCTTGAGAGTGTCCAATATGCCTATATGCTGGCGACTGTGTGTGAATACTAGGGTGCCTTTGAAGAGGGTGCCGACACCCTCTTCTAGTGCTCCATTGACCTGGGGAGGGTCAGATGAGTTCTAATGTTGGGAACGGAATTATGAAGTTCATTTTATACACAGGCACCTGAGGCCTCAAAGATCACATGCCTACTCTCACACAGCTAATGTCAGCCACTGCAAGAACTCAAGTCCCTGTAAGGGGTTTTCCTTTTGAAAGGTGGAAACAAAGTTACTGACCCTTAGGACTCTTATTCTGAGTTCTTTGCCTCACTGACAACCCTGTCCTACCAGGTGTGCACAGGTCTCCATTTTTAGAGCTGCCGTGATCCCTCCCACCACTCGTGACTCTGGCCTCAACCTCCCCAGCTACAGTGGCTGCTGGCTTGGTCAAACCTCCTTTCCCCCATAACTTAGCAGAAACAAGTTAGAATCTTTCAAAGAGAGCTTTAGTGAGAAATTAAGTTGGGGGGGGGGACATGAAATAAATGGAGTGATAAATTATAGTACACAGTATTCCAAGAATAAAGTACTCCCGGGCTTCCTTCCTGATTGACCCTGGGGCACAGGCGCATACTCCCTGCCTCTCACCCATCCAGAGAAGACCCTTTGCAGTGATTCAGGCCAGCACTGCTCTTGGGTGGAATCCTCCATGTCTCAGAACCTCCCACAGGGCTTCCCATTTTCACTTGTGGGGCCCAACTTCTGGGAGGGGGGCTCTCACAGAGTCTGGGGGGGGGCAACTTCCTTCCCAAGACAGGAGGTGTATTCTCTTTCAAGTCTGGGTTCAGTGCTTCTGCTACCACACAGTGGTTTTGCTGTAGTCACTTTCTATAAACATGTTTAAATTGTATCAGATGAGAGGTGTGGGACTACTTTTATTTTCAAAGTAAAGGGCTGGGAGGGAGGATACGGTATTTTTCAATCGCCTTGCCCATGCCAATAGTGCATTTGAGTCAGAGCAGCTAAGGAATATAGAGAATTACCACAAATATATTAATTTTGAGGGAGGAAGGCTATATGACCTCAGATATCCTTTCTTGCATTTTCAGTTTTTCTGCCTTGTTTTAAAGTTAGAGTTGTCCTTTATAACATTGAAAATCCTACCACCTCCATACCTGAGGAACCCCTGAATTAAATAATTTTAGGAATTCCATTTCTCCAACCAAATGTTTGTTTGTTTTGGAAACTCTGCATACTTCTCTTTTGTTGCTCCTTACTTCATTTTGGAAAGAGGATAATTTATGCCATGAGAAACTCCAAATGTTTAGAGCTGGGAAGTAGGAATGTTTGGGCAAGAAAAAAGGGAAAACATAAATAATCAGAAATGCTTGTTTTAGCATCTAAAATGATTATTGGATACTGTTTATAATCATCGTGGGAGCTGCAATTTTTCATTGCTTCAACTCAATTTTAGTATAAATATGACCTAATCATTTGTTCAGCTGAAGAAACTTTTCTCCTGGTGACATTGCAATTAGCAAATACTTCGGGTTTATTTCTGAAAACCTGATGCAGAAAATCAAATTTTCTTCTAAGCTTGTAATAATGATGCTTTGCAAAGGTTTCCTTAAGGCTTGAAAAGTATTTGCTATTTTCCATTTAGCTTTAAAGCATACTGTATTCAGAAGTTGACATCCACCATCTTTCTTTTAGGAAAACAAATTAGCATACCAAGAATATGAATTTTTAATTGGGCAGAATCTCTTTTAAAAAAATCAAATGACCTAACACTTTGTCTGCCTTCCTACCTCTCCTTTTGGTGCAGAGGCAGTGGTGTGACCATTAAAAGTTAATTTTATCCCAATAGAAAGTATATTGGCTGGGTGCAGTGTCTCATGCCTATAATCCCAGCCCTTTGGGAGGCTGAGGCTGGCAAATCACAAGGTTAGGAGTTCGAGACCAGCCTGACAAACATGGTGAAACTCTGTCTCTACTAATAATATAAAAATTAGCTGGGCGTGGTGGCACACGCCTAATAAACCCAGCTACTTGGGAGGCTGAGGCAGGAGAATCGCTTGAACCTGGGAGGCAGAGGTTGCAGTAAGCCGAGATCACGCCATTGTACTCCAGCCTGGGCAACAAGAATGAAACTCTGTCTCACAAAGAAAAAAGTATATCAAGACACCAGTCTTCAGGTTGATATTTCTGCTTTTCTATTTTTAAAATCCTTTTGTGAAATATATAAAAATGCAAAATTGTGAGAGTTAAAAATTCTCCCGTAGCTATCAAATTGTCATTCCTGTCTGAATACAGTCTGCTTTGGGAGAAAAATACAGATCTACTTTAAGACATATATATTAATTAAATTTCCTTTTGATTCTACAGTTTGGGGATTCTCAGCAGTTGCGGCTGGTCCGTATTCTGCGCAGCACCGTGATGGTCCGCGTTGGTGGAGGATGGATGGCCTTGGATGAATTTTTAGTGAAAAATGATCCCTGCCGAGGTAAGGAACCATTCTGAGCATGAATTACGTGTTAGCTATGCCCCCAGCAGTGATCTTTTATTACAGGAAGCACTGATGGTGGGGTCTGTCTGTCTTTATTTTGTTAAGCTGCCCAGGTGTCATCCCACTAGCACAGATTAGAACTCAGGGGTGCCAGCATAGGCCAGGGAGAAAAAGCTGAAGAGGTTGATGCCGTTTGGGGAGGTAGGTCTAGAGGAATGCAGTAATGAGAATTAAGAATGTATTGGTGTTACTTGAATGTTTCAGTTTGGGGTATTAAATTAACACTATCCTAGAAAGGAGCCTGGTGAAGCCCTTTAGGTTCCCTCTTAGTGCCTCAGATCCCTTTGCCTGTAATTCCTGTGACTGACACTCAGGGAGGGTGTTAGGCCCTTCTCATCCAGGGAAGAACTGGTGAGCCCCCTAGACCAGGAGGGAGGATGAAGACACCTACGTGTAAGCCCATTCACTTGTAAGGCAGGTGGCCACCTAAGCAAGACCATGGGTTGTCTTTCTATTAAATGTGAAAAGGCTGGCCCACCAGCCCAGAAGCATAAGGAAACTGTCAATTTAATGAGTGGTGGCACCTGCAGCTAGGGGGTGTGTGGGAACTGCAACAGGGAAGAGATGACCAATTCCAATTGCTAAATCCTCTTCAGCTGTGTCCTTGCCTTTTTCCTGTTAGCAGAGCTGCATGTGGGTGCACAAGAGGCTCCCCCACTGTCTGCCAATTTGTCTTTCTTGACTAGTTTCTGCGTTTCCTGCCCTGTCTCTGTTTCTTTGTGTTTACATATTTTTTATTCTAGTTCATCATCCTGGGAGTAAAATAAAGCGCTCTGATTCCAGCTCTTCGATTTCCAGTCAGTCTCCCATAGGTTGGCTTTTAAGCTTTGTCCCTCTTCCTCACACCCTAGCCCATTGAGAATGGCTTTGCTTCTTAAACTGTAACATCTCTTGGTTCTGTGTATCTGCTGCATTCATGAATGCTTGAAATGGCCAAACCATAGCTTTTCTAACTACTCAAGTTGATGGTGCATAAAATACTGTTGAGACTGTCCATGGAATTTGTTTTGAGTTTCTATTTAACAAATACTTGTATAGTTTTATGTGCCACAGACTGTTACAAGTACTTTACAAGTAACACATTTATGCCTCATATGAGGTGTAGATGCTTTTATCTGTGTTTTACAGAATAGGAAATTGAGGCATAGAAAACATAAATATTTTGCCCAAAGACAACAACTAGTAAATGGCAGAGATGAGATTCAAATTCAGGGCAATCAGAGTCTAGAGTATGTGCCCCTAGCCAGCATGTTACATGTTTCAGAGACTGACACACCTTTGTGTGTGTTTATTATTGGATCAGCCTGCATAATTATTAAGGTTTATTTATAAACCTAGCAGAAATGTTTACTGTACAGTACATAACTTCTTTGGAAATGATTTATAGTCATATTCTGAAGCATTGAGTGAGGACAGAGCTAAACACAGCAGTTTTCACATGAATTCAGATATGCCCATAAGTAGTTCCTCTTATTTTAATTCATTCTGTGTTTACTACAGTAAACCAGAGTAAAAGTTCAGCAGTAATAATTTTCATTAGATGTTCCTTTTTTAAGAAAAATTGGGGCCAGGTACAGTGGAATCCCAGTAGGTTGGGAGCCTGAGGCAGGAGGATTGCTGGAGCTCAGGAGTTCAAGACCAACCTGGGCAACATAGTGAAACCCCGTCTCCAAAAAAAAATTTTTTTAATTAGCTAAGCATGGTGGTACACACCTGTGTAGTCCTAGCTACTCTGGAGGCTGAGGTGGGAGTATTGCTTGAGCCTAGGAATTCAAAGCTACAGTGAGCCATGATCGTGCCACTGCACTCCAGCCTGGGCAACAGGGCAAGACTCTGTCTACAAAAAATTAACTTTGAGGGCCGGGCGCGGTGGCTCAAGCCTGTAATCCCAGCACTTTGGGAGGCCGAGACGGGCGGATCACGAGGTCAGGAGATCGAGACCATCCTGGTTAACACGGTGAAACCCCGTCTCTACTAAAAAATACAAAAAAACTAGCCGGGCGAGGTGGCGGGCGCCTGTAGTCCCAGCTACTCCGGAGGCTGAGGCAGGAGAATGGCGTGAACCCGGGAGGCGGAGCTTGCAGTGAGCTGAGATCCGGCCACTGCACTCCAGCTTGGGTGACAGAGCGAGACTCCGTCTCAAAAAAAAAAAAAAAAAAAAAAAAAAAAATTAACTTTGAAAACACTTTCTGATAAAAACTTGAAAGTATTTAGTTTTAGAATTTAAAAGTCGTCTTTTATTGCTTTAATGAGAAACAATATATGCCATTTTAACTTTAACTCAGTAAAACAACTTTATTCCTTTTCAAATCTGTGAATAAGGTCCATTTTTCCTGTCATGTATGATGGGACTAAATAAAAGATATATTGCATGTGGCATTTTGGAATCCTTGATTGCCGTTTCTTTGCTGCCTGCTCTGTTTGTGATAACATCATGCTGCTGGCCCAGGAGAACACTGCTTGCTTTGTCCTTATCTTAGTATCTGAAATTTGGAATCCCAAGGAAATTGGGGAGGGCCATCTAGAAGCTATTTTCTATGAAAGCTAGTCACCTTTTTTAGCATCCCTTGGAGCAAACAAGGTAAGACTTTCCTGTGTCTCTCCAGGAGTGCTCTCCTGGAGCTCAGTAATCATCTCAATCCATTGACTGTGGAGAGAACTCTCCAGAAGTTTTAAATTTCATAACTTTATTAGCGATGGGCAGGATGTGCTATCTTCAATCAAATAAAAAATGGTTCTAGGCAATGAACACCTAAGGACTAGGATGGATTATAATAAGGTAGAAGGGTGTGAAGGTTGAGAAGAGAACAAAGTTATTTGAAAAACTGTATTGGAAGTTCTATAAGGATTAATATGACTTCTGGAAACACTGCTTACAGTAGGTTTTGTACTCATGGATGTTGCATATTTCCTTGGGTCTCTGGACCACAGAGAATGCTATACTGAGGACAGTACAAAGTGCGTGACAAGGTTCTTAACACCAGTGTGCACTATCATTTCTTACCTCCCTTTACACGGCTATTTTAAAAGGTAGAACGTATCTCAAACTGCATATTGCTTTAGTCATGTGTAAAAAAATGAAAATATTTTGCTAGCTAGATTTGCCAATCTCCTGGTACTGTGAAAATCAGATATTTCAGTTTCTGAATTTATCCATGGCGCAGGAAATCATGATGTTTTGGATGGAGAGAAAACCAGTGCTCCTGCCTAGATAATAGGTATACCTGTACCTAAGGTACTGTGTATGTTTTTGATCATTACACATATTAGCTCCCCCAGATAAGTGAAGATCTAAGAAATTTCATTTATGAAGATTTAAAAGACACATTTTGGCATAGAACTGATTTTTTTCAGATTGTTATACAAATAACATAAAATTTACCACCCTAACCATTTTTAAGTACAAGACTGAGTACATTTGTGTCGTACTACCGTCACCACCATCCACCCACAGAAGTCTCTTCGTCTTATAAAACTGAAACCCTATAGCCGTTAAACAATAGGTTAGAACTGAATTTTAACATGCCCGCACCAGCCAATGTCAGGTGGCCAGCATAACTCCCTTAGCAAAGACAGCCTCTTTGGTGGTTGATGAACTGAGCTTGAGGTGGCTGCCATCATGGTCTGGTTCTGCAGGTTCAATGGTAGATCTTTTCTCCAGTGAAAAGAATGGTGAGGGGGAAAATCCTATCACAGTAGTCAACCAAGTACTAGGTATCTTCTCTTTTTTTTAACTTTATAATACCCAATGTTAGGAAAATATTTGAATCAATGTAAACATTAAAAGTACCTTTACTACTAAATTCAAGTGCTAGTACATAAATTTTGCTTAATTAGAATTTGGTGTTTCCTTCTAGTTTGAGAAAAATGTTTACTTTTTACTTTTGGGATTGCCCCAGAAATCAGTTTTCACAGCTTCCGTTTATTGTTTGTTGTCGCCTCCTCCCATCCCAGCCTTTTCTAGCTTATCAAAGTATTAATTGCCCTCTTAACACCTTTTTTAATTCTTAAAATTGGCCGCTTTTAAGTTTATTTCTGAAGAAATAGCTTTCATTTCTTCCAAGTGGTGTATATAAAATGTTCCTTACCAAGAATTGTTTCATTGCCTTGCATCTTCAAATATTTTTTTTTTAAATGCAAATATCTTGGCCGGGCGCGGTGACTCATGCCTGTAATCCCAGCACTTTGGGAGGCCGAGACGGGTGGATCACAAGGTCAGGAGATCGAGACCATCTGGCTAACACGGTGAAACCCCGTCTCTACTAAAATACAAAATATATTAGCCGGACGTGGTGGCGGGCACCTGTAGTCCCAGCTACTCGGGAGGCTGAGGCAGGAGAATGGCGTGAACCCGGGAGGTGGAGCTTGCAGCGAGCCGAGATAGCGCCACTGCACTCCAGCCTGGGCGACAGAGCAAGACTCCGTCTCAAAACAAAAACAAAAATAAAATGCAAATATCCATGTGAGTTATAGCATATTAAGCTAATATTAGCTAGGCATGGCTTAGCATAAATTAAATATTCATTGGTCTCTTGACCGAGATGAGAGCACCAGAAATATGGGAATTTTACTGTTGTGAGCTTAAGAGCATAAAGATCAAGAAGATGGAAATTACAGAGAGAGGAAGGAAAATAAAAGGGAGAAGACAAGACTCTAAAACCCCAATTTAAGTAAGCCATTATTTTTATTTTTCACTTGAATTTAGAACTTACTTTTTTTTTTTTTTTTGGAGACAGAGTCTTGCTGTGTCACCCAGGCTGGAGTGCAGTGGCACAGTCTCGGCTCACTGCAAGCTCAGCCTCCCAGGTTCACACCATTCTGCTGCCTCAGCCTCCCCAGCACTGGGACTATAGGCGCCCACCGCCACACCCGGCTAGTTTTTTTGTATTTTTAGTAGAGACGGGGTTTCACCATGTTAGCCAGGATGATCTGGATCT